CCTGGTTTCTGCCCTGAACAAATTCTCCCTGGAGTCTTTTCCAAATGGAGTTAAATCACCAAATTAATTCCCTAGTGCAAGTTTTATTTGTCTTTTTTGGGGGGTTTTTTGTGGGGTTTTAGAGTCTTGTCTCTGTATTAGCAAATTAGCCCATGCCACATGTTATGAGACAGGCCAGAGATAAACATGTGGGTCTGGGGGTTGTTTCCTGCCAGAGTGTTTACTTTGAAGGTGGTGAGGACTTGAGTAGACTGGGAGGAGGGACAGGGCCCTTTCAAGGCTCCTGGACCAGGGAAGGAGGCTGAAGAGGGCAAAGCTGATTCTCAGGGTCAGTGAGGAAAGCAGCTGACTGGTTCATGTCACAGAAGTGCCTGAGATGAAGCTGGAGGGCTAGGTTTGTTCATTAGCAGTAGGTAAGCTTCAGGTTTGTAAACAAAGTTTTTTTCTTAAAAAAAAGTGACCGTCTGTTGTATGCCAGCCTTGTACCCCCAAAAAGAAGGTAGAGAGGAGAAACCCAATGAAAGAACAGTCTTTGAAGAAATAGAAAAGAGAATAAATTTAAATTCCAGCAAATGCTAGAAATACACAGATCAATCAGGAAAAAAATACACAAATGAGACTATTACAAGGCTCTGGGCCTCAGTGCATGGGTGGAAGGAGAGGAGAGAGTCAGAGTGAAGAGCATTTAAATACAGGGAGGGCAGCCTTAGGAGTCAGGCTTTTCCGCTGAGTAGCTCCTTGAAATTCACATTCTTCAGGCTTTGTAACAGATTTGGGCCCTATAGCCTAAGGTGTCGGGTAGTGAGTGTGGTAGGGAAGGGAGAAGAAAGAGTACAGAAACACTGGACACAGACTCCTAGACACAGTTCACGTTTGGTTTAGATTCAAATTCCCAAGATTCCAGACCTTTGAGCCTCTCTGTCTTAACTGAAGCACCTCAACTTGGCTCCTCCTCACCAGGACCCTTGGCACCTTCCACTCCCCAGATCCCTAGCCCTGGGATCCCTCTGGGATCTTCCTGCAACAAACAGGCCCTTCACATACTCAGTTTTATGGAAACAAAACAAAAACCAATATTGAAAGAAAGGTTGGCTCTTCCTTTCATGCTTGCTGTGTTAGTTTTTTTTAATTTCTTTTAGTTTGTAGGCAAGGAAATGAACTAAAAATTTTGCTTGGGCTCTTTTCAATATATTTTCTGATCAAAGGCTTATATGAAGCATACATGAAGAGCTCTCTGAAACCTCTAATCAACCTAGTTTTTGAAAAATGGGCAAAAGACTTTGAAAACACTTAAAAAGTAGACACAAATGTCCAGTAGCATATAAAGATGTGCTCACCATCATTAGTCATCACAAATCTATGAGATATCACTTCACACCCACCAGGATGACTAAATTTAAATAGGCTCATAATACCAAATGGTGGTGAGGATGTAGAGCAACTGGAACTTTCATATCAGGTTGCAGCACAAGCTCATTTGTTTTCTGCTGTAAGGTGGCTCTGGGAGTGCTTAGCTGTCTTTAACTTCATTTGAAACATTTGAATTGCGTTAGATTGTTTTGTGACAGCTATCAGTGTGCATTTTTTACAAACACTTATCAAAATGAGTGAATCTTTATGTAGCCATTTTAATATTGAAGATAGAAGAAAATATGCAACATTTTCAGCATATTATGCTTTATTATTTCAAGAAAGGTAAAAATGTAATTAAAATGCAGAAAATGATTTGTGCAGTGTATGGAGAAGGTGCTGTGACTGATGAAACATATCCAAAGTGGTTTGCAAAGCTTTGGACTAGAGATTTCTTGAGGATGTCGCTCCATGGGTGGGTGGACAAGTTGAAGTTGATAGCGATCAAATCGAGACATTACTTGAGAACAATCAACATTATACCATGTGGGAGATAGCTGACATACTCAAAATATCCAAATCAATAAAGTTGAAATGAAAAATGTGTCTTTTATTCTACGGGAAAAACTAAACGAATTTTTGGCCCGCCCACTGCATGCCTGTGGGGAATGCGAAGCTCGTGTTGGACATGCTCAACACACACACACCCTTGGACGTGACAGTCGCACTCCTGGGTGGAGAAATGAACATCTGTGTCCACAGAAAGACTCGCATAAGAACTTTTATATTAGCCTTATTCGTAATAGCCACACACTGGAAACAACTCGAAAATCCATCAGCCAGAGAATCAATAAACAAATTGTGGCATGTCTGAACAATGGATAGCAGTTGCAAAGAATGAACTACTGATACACACAACATGGGTGAATCTGGAATACAGTGTGTTGAACACAGAAAGCCAGACCTGAAAGAGTCCATTCTGTGATTTCATTGAAAATCCAAGAATAGGCTAAACTACATCTGTGATGAGAGAAATTAGCAAGTGGCACCTGAGTGGGGGAGAAAGGCCAGGAAGGGGGCACAAGTGGACTCCCTAGGGTAATGGAAAGGTTCATATTTTGTTTTTGGTGATGGCTACATGAGCGCATAAAATTGTCAGAACTCCTAGATCTAATAGAGGGCAGGGCAAAAGTAGATTTATAGTTGTGATTATGCGAAACACAGAGATTATTCTTGTATTACTATTAAGTATTGTATTATATCATATGAACAACTGTAAACCTACTTTCACCCTATTCTATATGTGTATCTTATTGTATATGTTATATTTTAATTTTTTCAATACAAGAAAGAAAACATATTTATAAGCCTAGTCTATGTAGGCCTAGTCATCCTACAAATTATCTAATAAATTATAAATCATTTATCTCTCTCCTCAGTTTAACTCCATCTTTAGTTACAGAATGAAGTACTTTTCAAAGATGGATACAACACAAACCTGTTTTGCCTGCCCACCTGACCCCCACAGCCTGCCCACAATAAGTACCATAGATACTAGGTTTTCCTGCTGAGCTCAGTGGGTCCCTTAATTGACCTAAAAAGATGTGTGGGTGTGAGGTGGGGAGCCAGGACCGTAAAGGTGGTATCTGCTGTTCCCCCATCTCTGCGTCGAGAGTAGCTACACTTTCAGTGAAGGAAGGTCTTACTTTTAGACAGAAAAATGGAATCCTGTGTCCCAGACAACAACCCCTCATCTCGTATTGCTTTCCTTTCCCCTCACAGTGTATGGCCCCAGCACAGGAGATAAAGTGCCACCTCCCAGCTGCCCGCAGCTGGTCTTCCTCTTCCCTTTGTTCCCTGATGTTCCTGGAGCAGCGGCTCTTGGTGATTGGGAAGGTTCTGCCACATGTCAGCTGCTGTGAAGCCCAGCAGTGAACATCGCTAAGCTGGGCCCTGGGATATGTGCTCAGGCTGCCTGGGCCACCTTGTGGCTCTTTGATCTGGGGTGAGGCTTTCATTTTATCTTCTCAGAAAAGGGGGTGACTTCACAGGGCCTTCACAGGGCTGCTGTGGGGGTAGCACGAGATAACAGACCTGCAGACCACATTAGAAACATTTTTATCTGATTCATTTCTCAGGTGGAATTATTACCCAGTTCAGTGCTTCTGAGTCCCTATTCTGTGAAGGGTTGCAGCATTCGTGAAGGAAGTGTAGGGATCAGACTCTCTGGGCAGTCACGTGTTTGAGAGTTGATGAGGGGAAGCCACATGAGCAAAGGTGTAAAGCAATAACTAATTAGCAAATTCATATCAAGACAAAGTTTCCATTTATTACATGCTTCAGTCTTTATTAGGATCATTAGTGCCTTTCAGTCGAGTATAATCTGCTTGGATTTCTATACCCGTACTAAAAGCAGAGGGTAACCAAGTCCAGGCTCGGGCTGCCTGTCACCGCTCAGCCACAAAGCAGAAACAGGGATTGGGTCATAATTTTGCTTTTAATATCAGAGGCCAGCATCTGAGAAGGTGGTGGGTAAAAACCCTAACGTCCACCTTCCCTTGAGCTTTCAGAAGTTAAGTTTATATAGGGGAAATGTGGGAATTTGGGAGGGGGAGTGCAGAGATGCTGTTTCTCTTGGAAGAGGACTGAAAGAAGTTGGGGCAGCTTCTTCCCAGGCTGGCTCTCTTTGTTCTGTGTTATCTCTCCGGTTTGCTGTAGCATTCCGTTGTTCCCCGGACTCCTGTGGTTTACAGCCAGGGAGGTTCTGCATTCTCTGGTTAGAGAGGAGAGGTATAAACCGTTTGCTCTCAAGTGTCCTTGGTTAGAGGAGATAAGGTCTTGTGATTCACCAGCTGGTTGTAAATTGGCCTTGTTTAATTTTCTTGTATCAGTTTCTCCATTCCACATGCCCAGGAATTTCTCTAGCTTCTTACTCTCCTGTCTCAATACTACATATTCACCCGGTGTTTAGTGACCATCTCCAGGTGTCAGCCTTTGTAGTAGAGGAAGTGAACCTGTGCAATAGAACATGGGAACCAGACCTAGACTCAGGGTTTGTGTGTACCAGCTCTCACAGACTGTGTAACCTCAGCCCATTTACTGGGCTTCTCCAGCCCTCATTTTCAGTTTCTTGAAAAGAGTTAGATTCAGCACTTAAATTCTGAGGACCCCCCCAATTATGAGATTTTCCTAGAGTAAGTTGTGGTATAGTGGGCAAAATCTTTGTGGTCAGTAGAAGACCTGAGCTATGACCTCAGGTCCACCCCTTGCAAGCAGGATTAACTCTGGGAGAAGCATTCCATCTGTCTGAGTGAGCAGCCGCTTCTCCTTCTGCAAGACAGACCTGGAAATGTCCACCCTGCCTGCCTCTCTAGGGCATTGCAAGGGTCGAACTTAATGGAGTATGCAAAAACTTCATAAAGCATAATTCATCATATAAATGTTTCCTGCTATTCCACTGCCATTGCTATAGACATTGAAATACACACAAAACACTTTCAAAAGCATGTATACCTGAGTGTGGGGCAAGTTCAAGAGATGCGAAGCAGATATCGATCTGAGAGTCAGGTCAGTTAAGAAGGCTTGGAATCCCTGAGTTTAGCAGTCTCTCATGGACCAGCGAGCCTGGACTGATGGTTGTTCCCTCACAGGTGACAGCAGAGCTGGATGCCTGGAATGAAGACTTGCTCCGGCAGATGAACGACTTCAACACGGAGGATCTGACACTAGCAGAGCAGCGGCTCCAGCGCCATACGGAGCGGAAACTAGCCATGAACAACATGACCTTCGAGGTCATCCAACAGGGCCAGGATTTGCACCAGTACATCATGGAGGTCCAGGCCTCAGGTAGGCAGCCTGTCCTAGCCTTGTTCTCCTGCAGGAGGTGATGAAAACAAGAACACCAGCTTGACTCCAATGGGCACTTCCACTTTGTTCATTCATTTTATTCCTACAGCTCTAAGGAACAGATTTTTGGCTCTACTTTAAAGAAAAAGGAGCTCAAGCATGAGACCTGAAATAACTTGTGTGAGGCTGTCCAGTTAGGCTGTGGTAAAGATGGAAATAGGGTTGGGCTCTCCTGGCACTGTGGAGAAGTGGGGAAATGGGGAAAAAACTAATGGTGGAAATTAGCAAGTTCAAAAAACAAAAGAAAAAGAAAGAAAATGGTGGCCTGGAAAACAAACCAGCTTGGCTTCAAAAGCGGTTGGCCATGCACGTGAATTGTATTCAAATGTGTAGACACCCCCTTGCACCCTACCACACACACACCATCCTGCCCTGGCTCCTCCACTAAGGCTGGCTCCTTGTTTCCACTTCTGGACTCTCAGAGCCCTGTTTTTTAGCACTGGTCTGTGCATGAGTGCTAAGAAGTGCTGATAAAAATTTATGGCAAGGCCATATAATTTTATAACTTCTCAAAAAAACATGGTCTCTTTACCCAGATTTTTTTTCCTGCTCAGGATTTATTGACTATTTGTCCTACAAATACGTGAAACCTTAGCTCTGGTCAACTGTCTCAGTTGGTTGGAGCATCACTCCATATACCAAAGGTTGTGGCTCAATCCCTGGTCAGGGCACATATGGGAGGAGGTGACCTACTGATATTTCTCACATTGATGTTCCCTCTCTCTCCCTCCCTTATTCCCTCCCTCGATCCCTTTCTCTCCCTTTTCTCTCTCTCTCCCTCTCGCCTCTCTCTTCCTCCGCCCCCACTCCACCTCCCTCCCTCTCCCTTCCTCTCTCTCTAAAAGAAGTCTGTAAACATATCCTTTGGTGAGGATTAAAAAAATGAAACCTTATTGTTATACCTTCAAGTTGGCCTCTGTTATCAGAACTGGAGGGTGTCATCGCAGTCCCTAGTCCACCTTAGCCCAGAAAAAAGAAACCACTCACATAAGCTAGAACCCAGGCCTGAACACCCAAACCCACCCATTGTCCTCCTCCCCTTCACCTACTTTGCCCTTGTTGGCTCAGGCTCCTCCCCAGGCATCTACTCTTTACAGCACTGTTGGTCCACGTCCCTGTTGATCATGAAGGATATTTAGAATCATGAGATTGTTAGGCAAGCCTTAGCAATCAAACTTAACTTTAGAGTACTGTGCTTCTTTTAATGTATTTGTAGGATAAGTAGTGACTAAATCCTGGGCATGCAAAGGAACTTTACTTCTAACCAGAGGAGAGACAAGCTAGGAAATTCTGTTCACTTTGGTCAGCATCATCCTTCTTTGAAGTTTCATCTGTGTTGTGAATAGGTCTGTGCCCCAGATAGCCCCAGGAAGGGCCACTCACATTATAGTTTATCTGGTGTCTGTTTTATGACAATACCCAGGCCCCACTGAGATACCTGATTTAACAACCTCTCAGTCAGGTGGGCATCTGAATTTTGGGCATCAGCAAAACCCCGCAGGTGATTCCACCATGAAGCCAGGGCTGAGACCACTGCTTTTCATCACAATGGTTAAATCACAACAGCCAATACCTATGAAATGAATGTCCCAGGACAGGGGCATCCCAAATGTGGTTCCCAGATCAGCAGCATCAACATCACCACTGGAACGCTTGTTAGAAATGCAAGTTTAAGGGCCCATCCCTAGAACCTATCACATCAGAATCTCTTGGGGTCCAGCCCAACAATCTGTGTTTCAAAGCCCTCCAGATAATTCTGATGTGTCCCTGCTGATCTAGGACCTTGCTTCTCAAGGTGTGGGCTCTAGGCCAGCACCATCAGCATCACCGAGTTCTAATTAGAAATGCAGGATTCTAGACCTTTTCCCTCAGTATTGATGTGTCTAGCAAGAGAAGGGCTTGTCTGCCTGAAAACCCATGGCACTTAGGACCAGGGTTCTGGCATGATCTGGGGAAAGCCCACCTCTATTCCAACAGCTAGGTATCCATAGCAACAGGAAGACTGCTGGGAGCTTGCATTCCCTGGAGACTGCCTAAGACTGGGGTTTAGTTGTACTTGGCAGCCACCTTAACCATGAGGGCTGAGTGGGTGAAAACTCCCCAGGCAGATGGGCTGCCCACCTCCACAGTATCCTGTTCTAGAAATGAGTTTTGTCAAAAGAGGCTGGATTGGCCTCCTCAGCCCTCTCTGCTGGGACTGGTTGTTCCCCTGCTCCTGCCACATTTAGCTGCTCAGTCTGGCATAGCCCCTCAGGCTTCAAAGGGAATGAATCCAGGGGTTTCAGGGATGCTCACTCTGCCGCTGAGTGCCTGGTCCTCAGTGGAGGCATCTCTCTCATCCCTGGCTTAGAGGAGGGGAGCACACAGTTGTGTCAGAGCTGGGGAGTGGGGGTGGAGGTTGGGAGGGACCCAAATGGAACTTGCACCCCTGTGGCCGAAGAATGCAGGACTTCAGAGACATAGGACTGAGGCAGTAAAGACGATTATTTATTATGTACATCTAATGAACTATATTTGAACTAGGAGTAAAATTAATTGCTGTGTTAGAAAAGGACAATAAGCAAAATTAAGAGTTGGATGGTATTTAGCTCTTCATGTTAAATTAATTAAGGGCATATATTTTGATTTTATAGGAGTAAGTGGAAGTGGAAAATTTTCATACACTTATTTTCAGGTATGAAGTTTATAACATTGAATCAGGTTCTACTAAATCTCTCTAGGTGCTAACAACTCTAGCCAAAGCAAAGCCTTTGCTTAAATCAACATCAGCCTTAGGAATAGAAGGCAGAAGAGGAATAATTTCTTCACTTGCTCATCATTTCTTCCTCCCTATAGCATTATGTATGTGAGCCTCAAGTTGGAGGTATTTGCTGGTAATAATCAAGTTGGAGAAAATGTGCTTGCTGAATTCAAGAAGTTGGAAATGACTTTTCTTTCTCTTTAGACCTTACTTTCTTTCTTTCTAGTGTGGCAGGTGGATCTTGATTCCTAAAGTCCTCTCCACTTCTTACCTTCCATGATTCAGCCTCACTACCTCCTTTGATTATGCCCAGGTCTCTCCTTAATGTGATCTGACAATGAGACTGTTATACTTGACCTTAGGAACAAGTCAAGAGCCATATATCCTATGGATACATTCCTTTTGTGGTTTAATCAAAGCTTCAAGTTCTCTCTTTATGCAAGGCTTTGAAGACTCTTTGGAGCCTGTAGCAGTGATACTTCAGATATAATACTATGCTTGAGAAGACTTCTGCCACAGTATTTGAGAATAAATAAATTTTTTAATAAGTTTTGGGGGATCACTCTTCTTCTTGAGCACAGAGGTTAAAAGTACAGGTAGGAGAGGAAGATTGCTTGGCTTGGCATTCTACCACATCTCTTACTATCTGGGTGTCCTTGAACATATGCTCACTCTCTGAGCCTTGCTTTCCTCTGGAAAATGGTGATCATGGGAATAAAAACAAAAGAGAGTCATTGTGAAGATGCAGTGGGATAATACACAAGGGTGCCAAGGGCTCCATAAAGCTTGATAATGATTACATATTACACTAGTATTCCAGCATAGGGCATTTGGTTGGTGTTACTTTTGTTCCTGTAGCATCTTCAGCAGCATGAGGATAGGACTCTTTCTTCCTTCTCTTTATATTCCCAGCATCTAGCAGAGTCGTTATGTCTTGCCTATAGCAAGTCCTAATAATGGTATCTGCTGAGTCATGAATACTAAACATAGTGTGGGTGAAACAAATGTAGGCAAAAAATAATGAGCCATAAATAATTTTACTTATGTCATAAAAGGAAGGAAAGACCTGTGTTTTTCCAAAATGGAAGCTACTCTGGGGTCAATTGGAATGTGGATCTGGTTGGGGCTGAGGGGAGGGCAGAGGAGAACTTGAGGTAAAGCAGTAGTTCTGAAGACCTGGCTGTACATTTAGAAAATACATGGAAAACTTCTTAAAATATTCAGGTTGGGGGCACACCCCTCAGGGATTCTTAGTTAATTGGCCTGGAGTGGGTCCAGAGTCATTTAAACTTCCCAGGTGATTTTAATGTAGGGCCAAGATTGAGAATACTGATCTAAAAACCTGATTAAAGGACTTTGTAATTTCTGAACTGGTGTTGTGCTGAGGCAGTGATGCAGAAAGAAGAGTGGGGTGGGAAGGAGAAAGGAGAAAAGAAGATGTTCTCTGTCTGAGGCAGATACGTATTTTAAAAACACAGTCAAGAAACACATTACAGGTCCTGGCTGGTGTGGCTCAGTGGTTGAGTGCTGGCCTACAAACCAAAGAGTCACCAGTTCAATTCCCAGTCAGGGCACATGCCTGAGTTGTGGGCCAGATCCCTAGTAGGGGGTGTGCAAGAGGCAACCATACATTGATGTTGCTCTCTCTCTTTTTCTCTCCCTTCCCCTCCCTAAAAAATAAATAATATCTTTAAAAAAAAGAAACACATTACAAGTATGGACATTGTAGCCAGGAATACTGCTCACACTAGACCATAGTCACCTCTCCTTAAGGAAATTAAAGTGGTTCCCTCAACCTGACAGCAAAGGAAAGCAAAGCAAGATTTTATTTTCAGCTGTGGCCTTGAGCCCCAAATAAATACAGTGCCAAACATTCTAGTAACTGAGTGTAGCTGAAGGAATATCTCTGTCCCCTGGATTGTTGGCAGTTGTACCATTTTATCCAGTGGTTTCCAGTCTTGTTTTCATGTTGGAATCACCCTGGGAGCTTTAAGACTTACTGACGTCTGGGACCCACCTCCAGAAATTCTGGTGTTCTTGGTCTGGGCTGTAGCCAGGACACAGTGATTTTTTAAAGTTTTCCAGATGAATCTAATGTGAGCCAAGGTTGAGAGCGTGGGTCGAACAGCATCCCAACCACCACAGTTTCTAATGAGACACCTTGAGCAAGGATTGGGTTCGCCAGAAAGTTTGTTTTTTCCATAAGATGGCTGTGGCTGTTTTTAACTGCATTCAAAACAATTTTGTTAGATTATTTTGTGACAGCTGTCATATCAGCATGCATTTTTTTAAAAACTTATCAAGCTTGGTGAATTGTTGTACAGCCATATTAATATTGAAGATAAAAGAAAATGAGAAACATTTTTGGCATATTATGTTTTATTATCTCAAGAAAGGTAAAAAACACAACTGAAATGCAAAAAATAAAAAAGATTTGTGCAGTGTATGGAGAAGGTCCTGTGACTGATCAAACGTATCAAAAGTGGTTTGCAAAGTTTCGTGCTGGAGATTTCTCCCTGGATGATGTTCCATACTCAATAGACCAGTTGAAGTTGATAGTGATCAAATCAAGACATTAACTGAGAACAATCAATGATATACCATGTGGGAGATAACTGACATGCTCAAAATATCCAAGTTAATAAAGTTATTGGTGAAATGAAAAATGTATCTTTCATTTTATGGAAAAAACTAAACAGACTTTATGGTCAACCCAATATATAAACACCTGACAATAAGATTTTATATTTACATTTTATACAAGGCATTCAATAGTCCCATCAGTCAGTAACCAATAGTGAATATATTCTTTTCCTAAGGGAAAGAAAAAGTGGGAAAAAGGATACTTTTTAGCCAGCAAAATGCCACATACTATATATGCTTTATCTCCTAGTCTTCATGACACCCCTAAAAGTCTTTCTATGGATTCCCATTTTACCTTGTCTCTGAGAGGATATTGAGCCCAGAGACTTACCATAACAGGTTGCAGACCATGGATTCAAAGTTAACACATGTCCTTCATCAAAGCTCTCAGGTACTTTCCACCACAGCTCATGACCTGAGCTCCTCCCTAGAGTGGCCCATGTGTTCACTGTACAGGTATTTACTGAGTGTTATGAGTCAAGCACTGTGCTGGCTCCTAAAGATACAGGGAAGCATAAGACAGACATGGACCTAGTGTCTGTGTGTATGCATTCCTGAGAGAACACACAAGTTATGAGGAACCAACGTCAGTGGAAGTGTCCTGATGAAGGGATGGGTACAGAACACTGTGGGAGCACATCAGAAAGAATCTTCAGTACAACATTTTATTAAGGAGACCGACAAACTATTTCATTACAAATATATTTTACTACTTGATGCAAAGAACAAACATTCTTTTATAAAAAAATATTTATTGATTTTAGAGAGAGGAACATGGATGTGAGAGAGAAGCATTGATTGGTAACCTCCCTTATACGCCCTAACTGGGAATCGAACCCCCAACCTTTTGGTATAGGCAATGATGATCCAACCAACTGAGCCATACCATCCAGGGTTGAATGAACATTCTTGTTGCATTTCTGAGATCCTCTGAGGATAATAGTTAAGCCCATGATTAGATCAAGAGGAGTAATGTCAACACAAGAAAGCTTTATTTGCTGTTGATTGGTGGGCATGTACTAATTGATGGGTTTTAACTGGGACTCATGTCAATGTGTAGGGGGCAGAGGGGTGAGTTTGTATTCTTCTAGGTGTAGCTGGAGTAGGTCTTCATGTTTTTCCCATTCTCCATCCACAACAAGATATGCTGTCGAGGGCTGCAGAGGTGTCATAGGCATCATCTTCGCCCATTCTGTTTTCTGTGTTTGTCTCATAAAACAGTCTCAAGCAAGGTAGATGAAAATATAGGGCTTGCCTCAGGGCAGGCTGCAAGCCTCTTCTGGATGATCCCTCAGCAGGGAGATGGCCTCTTTGATGAGTTACTAGGCTTAGAGAGCCTATTTACATGCAGTGAGCCATAAGCTTTCCATAGGAAGACACTTTGCCCACACCCAGCATACTAAACACCAGAGACATGTGCAGAATGAAAATGAGCCAGAAAAACATCTGCATTGTGTCTGGAAAGGAAGAGCATCTACTTCTGTAGATGGATTTTTTAAATACTAACCCAAGGATATGTTTATTGATTGTATATAGAGAGGAAGGGGAAGGAGAGAGAAAGCAAAAGAGAGAAACAGGGATCTGTTGCCTCCAGTCTGCTCCCTGACGGAGGATTAATCGTGCAACCTGGGTGTGTGCTTTGACTGGAGATCAAACCCGCAACTTTTGGGTGAACAGATGACACTCCAACCAACTGAACCACCCGGCCAGGGCTGCAGATGGATTTTCATTAGATTTTTAGAAAGTAAAAGTAAACATAGGGGTCAAAGGTCATTCCACTTTGCTGAGCATTGCAGAGGTAGAAATTTTTGTGTTCCTTCTTATTTTTTATTTCAGTCAAGGAGATGTTCTACCTCATCCTCTTGGTAACTGAAAATAGTAAGTGGAAGGAGTTGACTGCCAAAAGAACAAGCCGTTCTTTTCTGTTTCCCACAGATATTTCAGGAGCTAGGACTTGGAATTATGAAACTGACAAAAAAATAAACATGAAAAGATACTGAAATTATTACCATCTAACACCAGAAATTTTTTTTCCTACTCTCCCATATTGTCCTTATGTAAAGCACTATTTTTGAACTTCTCTATAGAAATGAACTTCCTTTAGTGTGTATGGACATCCTGACTGTATTCCACAGGTGAATTGGTGAAGGCAGTGATGAATTTCTGATGGTTCAGTAAGAGCAGTGGGGAAGTCTCCCAAAGAGGATTTCTTTTTCAGGTGGCCATCCCTTGAGATTGGTGGTTTCCCCATCTGATCAGCTAATGAGAGTATGCCTTGGGCAGAAGTTCCTGAGACAGAGTCTTTTTTGGCCTTGTTTTGTATTTTCCAATATTATCCAGAGGCTGGTTTGTGAATATTCTGGGTGTTGGCAAATGTACTATCAGAGACTGCTGAGTGCTATCTTGTCTGGAGACGGGCTTTCAGAGAGCACCTCTCCCTAAATCCAGTTAATAATAAGGAGCTGACCATCTATTGGAAAGTTATTCCCAGGCAAAAGAGATGGCATGTTTGAGCATCCCAAAAAAAGCCAGTTATGGCAATCTGTCCAATTTCACAGAGAAATATTGTAGAGGTTGGGAGAATACTGAAATGGCTATTTCTAAATTCCAGCTTTCATATGCATAGTGAAAAATTGTAGTCTTTGCAGTACCACATGGTTTTTAATTGTTTATTTCTCTAAATCAGGAATTGAGTTAATCTGTGAGAAGGACATTGATCTGGCAGCCCAGGTGCAAGAGCTGCTGGAGTTTCTGCACGAGAAGCAGCACGAACTGGAGCTCAACGCAGAGCAGACTCATAAGCGGCTGGAGCAGTGCCTCCAACTGCGGCACCTCCAGGCTGAGGTCAAACAGGTGAGCCTAGCTCTTCCACCTTCAACTCAGGCTTCCCACTTGGCTGGGTCAGCCACAGGTGTACACAGACCTTAGGAAATAAGTAAGTTAAGGAATGGTTGTATTTGTTTCTGAAAGCTAGGCTGCCATCTATTGGACCTAACAAATAGACCTAATGGCACAATGGCTCAAACAACAAATGCAAAGTTTCTCTTTCATAACAATCTAAGCAGAACATTCCCAAGTTATTCCCAGTATTTTATTTTCCTTTGTGCCTTCAATCCTAGCATACAGGTCATAGTAAATACATATCCTTTATCAACAAATATATTAAGCCTTCAGAGCTGGGTTGATTAATTTGAGGCATCTGTGTGTCTAGTACAGTACCTGACACATAGCTGATAGTACATGGTAGCAGTTGCTGTCATTCTTTTCAGTGTGTGTGTGGTTCTGATAAATTTTTCTTATCATGTTAAAGTGAACTTTAAAAAGGAAAAAAGTTATCTATGAGACATTATACTAGCTATTTTTCTAAAAACATGTACCAAGATCTCTAGGAATCTCTAGGGATATAACAATGACCAATGGTACAACAAAAAATATTACAGCCCTGGCCAGGTGGCTCAGTTGGTTGGAGTGTCGTCCCATGCACAAAAAGACTGTGGGTTCAATTCCCAGTCAGGGCACATGCCCAGGTTGCAAGTTCGATCCCCAGTTGGAGTGTGTAAGGGAAGCAACCGATCAATGTTTTTCTCACATCAATGTTTTTCTCTCTGTCTCTGTCTCTGTCTCTGTCTCTGTCTCTCTCTCTCTCTCTCTCTGTCTCTCCTAACCCCTCCCCACCTCTCTAAAATCAATGAACATATGCCCAGGTGAAGATTTTTTTTAAGCTACAGATTTTTTTTTATGTGTAGTAACTGCTAGATCTTTTAGATTTAAGTCTATTAATTTACCACAAGGAACAAAAACATCATATTTGATTTAATTATTCCTAGGTCCCTTATTGTCAGGATATTTCTTGTTAATGCCTCTTTTAGTTATTACATTGTTGTTTATTATAATGGGCAAAAAAATCTTCTCTGCTCCACTTCTCATACAGTCATTGCTCGGCCGAAGCCCACACATGCTGTGCTAAAGATTCATCAGTGAGCCCCAAGCAAGACCAGATCACAGCACTGCTGTCCAAGTTGTTTTCTGCTTCATTACACTGGGATCACTTCTGAATCTCTGGAGAAAAATATTGTCCATGGGGACACGGTACAAATCCTGGCAGGCCCAGAGCTGTGATGAGCATATAAATCTGAAACTGTTGTCAGTAATGATAGTAGTTTCTTTTCATAGGAGAAGTACTTCCTCATTTGTGATCTTATTTTAGAACAAGCAGGGGGCCGGGAGTGGTGTATATTTACTTTACAAATGAGGAAACTGAGGTACCAGAGGATCAGTGCTTGCTGGGCCTTGACTAACTCAAGCTGAAACTTGAGCCCAGGCTTCCTAAATCCAAGGTCCTAAAATCTGCCTCTTCAAAGCCCCACACCCACTCTGGGGTTTTGGGAGAAAGAGAAAAAAGCCTTCCAGCACAACTCAGTCTGGGATACTCTTGGCCTCTGTAGCTGTCCATGTGAGTAGACAGGCAGGCACAGTGTATGCCTGGCAGCAAGGGTGGTGCCTGCCCGATCTCAGTGGGCTCCCCCAGGTCATGGGAGTTCTCCTCCGCTCTTCATGCTCAGCTGTTTCTGCCAGTGGATAGTGATCTGAACAAAGAGGATAACATGAAAATTATCCCTGTTTGACTTTGAAGTGAATATATGCTTTTGCTTCTGTTCCTGGTTTTTTAATTTTATTTATTTATTTATTTATGCTCCAGCATTAATAGTAAAGCCAACACTAATTATATTCTTTTGACTGATATGAAAATGGAAATGAGTGATCATCCTCCAAGAATACATTCCGTATGGAATGGGGAGCTGGGATGATGACACGTAGTTTGTCAGATGGGACAGTAAAATATCTCCTTATGATCTGTACACATTTCCATTCAGTATTTCATGAGTTGGAGAACAAAAAAAGGAATTCTTCTATGGGGGTGAGAAAACTCCTTCTCCCCACCACACAGTGGGATCGTAGTTCAAAAATGGTACTGGATTGTTAGAGTCAGACTTTAGGAAAATGGTGAAGGCCTTTGCAAAGGACAGTGGCCCTTGGGGACGACAAGGGACTGCTGCTCAGTGAGCCACCACGCCTCATTAGACAGACTTGTTTTCCACATCAATGTAAGACTCTTTCTTTAGAGAGTTGTCTAATCCAGTTTTAGAGAAGGCATTTGTGTTTGATGGAAGTTGGTGGAGCGGGAAATATTGACTTGGAAGCTGTTGACACTGGAAAGAGGGAGTTAATTTAGATGTCAGTATTGATCGGTGGGGCTAAATTTAGACACCAGCTTGAGAGTTTCTCTTTTGAATATATTCTCAAAAAATAAAAAAAAAGAAAAGGGCATTTAATTGAACTATCAGTAATGGAGACAGAAAGGGAGAGGACAATGGCTATTATACATACAGCTCTGCCATTAGAGCTCTCACAGATTAAAGGTTTAAGTGTGGCCATCATAACCGTAAATCATTACCTCACAGTTATATGAAACTGAAGTTTTGAGGAGTGGCAATGTCACAGATATTAAACTGAAAATTATTTTCAAGTATTAAGGACAAAGGAAATTGATTGATGCAACTGATTTTTTTTTTCTGAGGGATTACCTGGGACTTTGTATCTAAGATAAATGGCCCAATTACATCTAGGAAAATGTTGAATCTTGAAGGGAAACCACTCTCTTGATTATAGTCCATGGTCCAGGACCACCCAGATGTCCCTTTTCTTCTAGAAAAATAGTTCAGATTATTCTCCAAATTCCATAGAATGCTCTCATTGCTTTGCAGGAAAATTGCTACTCAGGTAAAGATGACCTCACATTTATTAGATAATTCAGAAAGATTTGGAAAACCTATTTAATGGACATAAAACTAAATGAATTTCCATGTGTATTCCTACAGAGCAGTGCATTTGGCAGAAAATAGCTTAGAATGGGTTTATAAGATTTTGGGGCTCTCAGCTATGGGGAAAGAAATCATTCATATTTTTTTACTAAAGATGTTGACAAAATTAGCCCTGTGGACCAAATACATTTGCATATGATCAAGATGGACATTCAAAACAAAGGAGAAAATATTATCCTGCCCTCATTTTCTTGTCAAGAATACTGTGTTCAGTTGGGTTCACTGTACGTGAAACTTAGAAAGGATTTGGAATAGATCCAAAAGAGAGACAACCAAAGGGACAAGTACTACCCATTTGTTTCAAAATGGAGATAATGAAGAAGGCACATGGTCACAATTTATAAAAGTATGATGGGTGAATCCATACAGTCTTAAAAACCTTGAATTTTTAAAACTAGAAGACATTGGCCCTGGCTGGGGTAGCTCAGTGGATTGAGCGCAGGCTATGAACCAAAGGGTCATTGGTTCAATTCCCAGTCAGGGCACATGCCTGGGTTGTGGTCCAGGTCCCCAGTGGGGGCCAAATGAAAGGCAACCACACATTGATGTTTCATTCCCTTTCTTTCTCCATCTCTTCCCCTCTCTCTAAAAATAAATAAATAAAACCTTTAAAAAAAACTAAAAGACACTGAAAACATGAGAGGCTCCCAGTTACCATCTGAGGAGCTGATGGTTTTTCCTGTGGTTGGAGTGGCAGAAATGGCTGTGTCTTGTAATGCTTTCTGCAGCAGAAACCTTAGATTCAATGGCTTTGAGTACAACCTTAGAGATTTGTCATTGATATTACCTAGAGAATACAGCCATATACAAGCAGCTTCCCCAGCCTACATGGTAACAGGGTCCAGTCTGCTTAGATGGACATCCACCTCAGTTATTTGTGGACACCCGCATGCAGTTAACCAAGTCCAGTCTTCTCCTAACCCGGGGTTATCTGAGCTTCCTTGGCCTAAGGAAGCAATAAGTCTCCATTTTCCTTTCCCCTTCTCAGGTATGACTGAGCTGAATTCATGGCCTCGCTCTAAGTCCCCAAGCAGCAATACTTTTTCATGTCCTTATTTCTAGAAAGTTAAGTTTCTCTGGTATCCCATGTCTCTGAATTTTGAAAGAAGTATAGAATGTTAGGGCCAAAGTGACCTTCAAAGATCATCTAACCTATAGGTAAGCTGTTCTCTCAATGACTGATCAGCATGAAATATTAATCTGACAGATTACACTTTATGGTTTGCAAATACTTTTACATTAATTATTTCATTACATCTTCTTAACCCTGTGACTTAGGCAAGAAAATTTTTACCATTTTACAGAAAAGAAAATTGAGCTTCAGAGAGATGAAATGTTTCCAAAGTCAAGCACCTCAAGATTAGTAGGTCCAACATTTTCTCATTTTTATTACAATATTCCTTCTCCTTTGCACTCATTTGTAAAGTAGATGCTCATGAAGAATAAATAACCAACTTTATGAACCAGGAAGACAAAGGACTACAGTAATAGGAAGTTATACCAACAAGAGTTATCATTAATAAGAGTACAAAAAAATTATAACAAAATAGCTACGGTACCTACCTAACATCAGAAGGCCCAGAATACAAGTACTGGGACAAAAACTAACATTCCTAGACTTTTTCTTTTCTCATTGTGAGAGGTACAAATGAAGAACCATAGCATTAACTAGCTTTGCTCAAAAACTAAAAATCATCACCACCACCAGCCTCCTGTTATACGTATTATAGTATGTTGCATCAAGACTGATACTGAAAGTGAAGGTACCATTATCCTAAATTTACAGATGAGAAAACTGAGGCTCAGAAGTGTTAAGTGGTTTTGCCTGGTAGAACAAAGCCAGGTGTTCTGACTTAAGATTTTGTGCCCTTTCTCCACTATATCCCAGTTCTGCTTCCAGGACTAATGCAGGGATCAGTCCCACTGCTGAACCCAAGGCCTGGATATAAACTGCCATGCATTTTTTGTCTTCCTAATATCAAATCTCCCACTTTAAAGTCCTGCAGTGCATTTGGACAATAAAAACAAACAAGATGTCAAGGATTTGGCATAATTTAATGAAAGAGGTAGACACTGAAGCAAAATGCAATGAATCATGGCAAAAAGACTTACTTAGTTCAAAATATACATTGTGAGTTCCATTTTGCCAAGAGATAAAGCATCTTAGGCATGTGATCCATGTATGCATGTACCCAAAATTACAGGCACCCTTTGGAAATCATTAGCACCCCTAGCCAGCCAGCCACAGTACACCAGTGGCATCAGAGATTTCACACATACACTCTGAGCAGTTATTTCCTGCAGCTAATCACTGTACAGATTGGTACCTCATCCACAGTCTGCCAGGCTGGCCATGGATCAACATCTCAACCCAGATAGCCTAGCTTCAGCGGGATTTCTGCCTCAGTGTCATCCATGCACAACATGGCACCAGTCCTTTACTGCCCAAAGGACACATTTGCAAAATGCCTGTGGGGGTTATGGCATAAGAGTCCAGGATTAGTATCTTTCTAATTATTTAATGTGAAGTTGAGAGGAGGGAAAAATAATTCTGAAACAGATTGAGGTGACTTCTGTTTATGTTGAAGTGATAGATGCATGGTATTTACTGATCTTGAAACTTCAAAAGCATTTTTTTCTCCAATAAAACTCTCAGATTTACTAATAAAGAAAATATTTGGCTATTTTTTGGTGACCAGACACAAGGCAGATTTTCAAGGCCTAATTCTTCTAGTTTGATTATCCGCACTAACTCTATTAGCTGGATAATCACCACATGTCCACTTCACCTAGGACTTTTAGATGGTGTCAGCTGTTTCTCTTTCTATTCTAATGCTCCCTAGCTGAGTGCTAACCAAGGCCACCTACAAATTTTACTCAGCCTAGTCATGGCCTCTACATAATTTAAATCATTTTTAACTTACTCTCCCTTTTTCTGGTGACCCAGTGTATGGATTTTTAATGCTATTTTGCTTATTTTCTTTTTCCTTCCTCCTGCCTTTGGGTTGCTTATGTACCAAAGCTCAAGCTTCTCTTCTCTTGGCTATTTTGCAAGGCATAGGTGGTTGGACCCACTGCTTAGGTGTGACTAAATGTTTCTCATAGATCATCACTCACCCTTCCAAAACCATTACTGCATACCCACCATATGCAAGGTACTTTATGAGATGAAAATGTGACTAATATAATACTCTGCTTTTCTGAGAGTTTACAGTCTGAGGGAGGAAGTGAAATATAAGTCAAAACAACTGACCAAAGGCAGTCTGTGGTGAGTGCCACAAAGGTGGTAATGCGAAATGATATGGTCGTGCTACATGACAAAGATGTTTCTAATGGGGGTGACTAGGTATAGCAGATTTCAAGAAGTTATTAATATTTAAAATGGGCCTTAAAAAACAGAAGGAAAGAAAAGGGTAACCAACAGAGGAAATGTATTTATTTGCACTATTCTGTGTTGCAGAAGGAACTTCAGAAATGTGCATACAATGCAGTCAGATAAATTGATGTTTAAATTGAGTGGGTGAGGACATTGGGACAGAAGGATGATCAGGGTGGGGAAAGAATATATGAAGCTGGGAATGAGGTTAGCCCTTAAAGTAAGTACCTTAGGGCACAGGGTGCCAGGTAAGATTAGGAAGGTGACCGTTTTAATTATCCAGACCCATCCTGTCCTCTCTCCAACTGTAGGAAGAAGATAGCAAGCTCTGTGATGAAAGGGCCCATCAGAGAAGGCAACAGCTCTGCGGAAGCTGCGAAGGCCATTTATCTGTGTTCTTGTTCCAATTCCCCAGGTCCTGGGATGGATCCGCAATGGGGAGTCAATGCTCAATGCCAGCCTGGTCAATGCCAGCTCTTTGTCTGAAGCAGAGCAGCTGCAGCGGGAGCACGAACAGTTCCAGCTGGCCATCGAGGTAACACCCAAATCTGGCTACACTGTCCTCCCTCCCCCTTCCTGCTCTGTGGTTCGAGCAGGATGATTCTTCCAGATGTGGCTGTTCCTTACTCTTCCTAGTGAAATGGTCCAGGTAGCCTCCCTACTGCCCAGGAATTGATGGAGAAGTAAATGTAGGGTTCATCACCCCAAGGAGGCCTGGTGTTAGAAGACAAGTATTCACACTAAAAATGTGGATTTTCTTTCTTAGTCTCTCAATTAGAGGAAGATTTAACCAAATGAACATTTAGTGATTACAAAAATTATCAGGCTTCTCCTCAGTATATGAAACTAGCATATAATTGTCATCATAAACACGTCATTGGTACCCTTAACCTTCAGGGCCTTGGTATGTTGAGTTTTATATTCATTGTGGACTAGGCACCATGTTAGAAATGTAAAGATCACACAGAATTGAGGATTAAAAAGTGCAAAAGTCACTACTAAATTAGGATTCCATTTTTAAATATTTAGTTTACAGGTAAGATTTAGATTCCATTGTCAGATTCTGCTTTTTAACAATAATCACAGGAGCAGATCACACTAGATAGTTTGCTTCACTGAGAATAGTTGTTCAATGATGCTGTTTTAAAGGCTCTTTTAAATAAAACTCCACTCAGGATAATTTAATATAAGTTTTATCTTGCTTTAAATAATACCTTTAATTATCTTTTCTACTAGAACATTGTTCTCCCCAAAGAGACTTGAGCTAATTGCTTTAGAATGGTGTGGGGGAAAAGAGTAGGAAATGGGACATGGGGATGGTATTAAAAATAAAATAAGTTCAGTACCAATGGGAAAAGAGATAAAGAGTGAAAAGTTCAAAGACATTCGTTACTTGCGTTTCAGTACAAAACCCAGCCCACTCCTGAGTGGGTAAGAAATGTAGAGGTGTTATCTTCTACTTAAAAAATTATTGTTAATGAGAATTTTCTACAACAATGATAAATTTTAACTGTCTATGCCAATAAGTTTATGTTCAACACAGCAATCCAACTGCTTACTAGTCATTTTTAAACGAGTATTGGTTGATTTCAACCATTTAATTTTCCAAAAGGCATCTTGTATGTGTGAGCATAGCAGGAACATGAATGACATGTTTCTGTACGATTTCTGATATCTTCTAAGGGACCACTGCTTAGGATACTGTCTGGGATTTAAGATTTTAAAATATACTGAATACTACCCACACAGTATAAATAACTGTCTAAGAAAGAACTAACCAGAGGAGAAAAGTTGTGTTATCTATCATTAGCTGTCCCTGCTGCATTTTGCTGGCATGTCAAACTTGAGCCTGTTGGGACCCCCTTGCTGTAAAGAAAAAATGAGCAGTGGGGTTACAGTCAAGGGTTGGGCTCACAGTGGCCAAGGGCCCCCAGAGAGGCAGCAGTAAAGAGAACTAAGGTTTGTCGGTCAGGCCAGAGCAAGGGTGTGGAGCTGTGAGGGGTGCCAGGCACAGAGAGCAGACAGCTCTTGGCCACACTGCCTCCTTGTTTATCTTGAATGTAAAGGTTTATGTGCCTGACAGGTAATTAAATTTTCAGTCCCTTAATCAAATGTTGGGAAAGTATCACTAAGTGTCACGATGCTTTTGAGTATCTCAGTGAGCTAGTGAAAAATAGCAGGTAAATGCATTTGCAGCGCTATCAAAATGACTACCTTTCACATGACGTGCATATGCAGCATGTATTAATTTGTGTTAGATGCTGTGGCATCCTTAAAGAATAGAGGCTCACTAAACATCGATGTCTCTTACTTGCCTGAATGCAACTTGATCAAATATCCTTGGAACTGACATTGAGACAGAGGTCCCTACAGAGTTTATGTCTGTGGTTTCAAGAGGACATGGCAGAGCAGATAGGGTTGCTGGAAGATCTCGGGAATACAAGGTAGGCAGGGTCTGCCAGAACAATGAAGGGAACAGAACAAGAATTTCAACATATGTTCCTCCTTGTGAGGTGGCCTTGTGCTTCTCTCTAAATGTATCTGTTTACACCCGGTTCTGCACTGGGGGGAAATATACCAGGAGTGACTTAAGCAATTTGAAAGCAGATCCATCTAGTCTGCTTTGGCTTAACCCATCCTGATGGTGTTGCTGGAGGCCGTCACAGTGATTGCTAGTGGGGTACATAATTTGACTTCTTGGGCCCTAAGAAACAACCCTGGGTTCCAGAAGGGAAAATAAAATAGTTATAGGTAGGGTGATCATATAATTTATTACTAAAATAAAGAAACTTTTAAAAGTGAAGGAGGGAATTATTCATAACTAAGCCAAAAAATAGGCATATACTAGAACTGTCATGGGCAAAGCAGGATTTGTCACCCTAGCTTGGGTGGCCTCATCAGTGTGAAGGTTTTGGTCTCACAAAAGGTCATCAGAATTTTTACCTGAAGAAGGCTTGGCCTCAGGAAAACTCCCCAGAGCCATTCGGAATGCAGAGTAATAATATACAGCACCCAAAAGCATAGCTTTATCACCAAACTCAGATTATTATTTGTTAGTGGCTGTTGTTGTAGCTGATATGTCTTCAAGAACTGTGAACATCATAGAGACATACTCAATTTTAAATTCCATGTTTATTTGAAATCTTCTTATGCATTTTAAGCTTAAACATTATGACAGAAATAGTTAAGTAATTGTTATCTAGTAGTTATAACTGGATAATAAATTCAGTTGATTTGGTTCAATTTTCTTCCATGTTTTGCTACTAAATATTAGCATCTTTGATCCATAACTTAAAGATATAGCACTCAACAGGATTAGGTAAAGAGCAGAAATAAATGCAAAATAATGATTCAAACCTAGCAATGCAAAGATTGTGTCATAAGCATGTGCATAAGAGTTTATCATTTTGGAAGTTAAAGGAGGAAGGGCTTCCCAGGACTATTAGATTATAGTGAGTTTTCAAATAAGGAAGAGGATTTATTATACAGTGTAAATTATAGGAAAATTAAAATTACTCCTATACTGTCAGAGAAAAAGACATTATGACGGGTTTATGATGACAATTATATGCTAGTTTCATATACTGAGGAGAAGCCTGATAATTTTTGTAATCACTAAATGTTCATTTGGTTAAATCTTCCTCTAAATGAGACACTGAAAATCCTGTTCTAATCACTAGACATCAAACAATGTGATGTGATACAGTGGAAAAGATGTAGGTTTGGGGATAGATCAAACCTGAATCTTATTCCTGGTTTTATCACTTCCTTGGTTATACGTTTTTGGGCAAGTCACTTCACCAGCCTCAGCCACAGTTTCTTAATCTGTGAAGTGGGAATAGCAACATTTACCTTGCAGTAGTGTCATGAGAACTAGAAAAAAATATGCATAAGCACAGTGCCTAGCACAGAGTATATATTTGGTAAAATGACAGCTATTCAAGTGATTTTTAAAAAGTAGTCATTGTCTGAGAGTTTCACAGTCTAAGTAAGGAGAATCAGCCACCTGTTAGATGAGTGTTATAGTTCAGAAAAGGGTGGTTTTTAGTGAGACTCAGGCTATCTGAAAAGGCCTCTTTGAAGGAGGTGGGACTTGAGCTGAGTCTCAAAGGGTGACTGAAGGTAAGTGGGGAGAGGCTGAGGGGTGTTCATTAAAGGCAGAAAGAGTCATGGCAGCAAAAACAAAAGAGTGTCTGGTGTGTTTTCAAAGTACTTTGTATGTAAATAGTGGGTAATGACGGTATGGAAGTAGTTAGCACCCTATTATGAGAGGCTTTTAATAACATCCTCTAGAGTTTGGGCTTAATTTCATAGCAATGAGGGAACTAGTGAAGGCTTTTGAATTGAAAGAAGGGAGAGATGTTTATAGCATAAAATCAGAGTTTTAGAGCTGGAGAGTACATTAGAAGTCGCTTCCTGTTACAGAAAATTAGTCTGCCCTTGGTGTAAGGGATGGATTGAATGGTCTAGAAACAGAAGGCAGGAATACTAGGGGGGTGACCAGCACAGCGGTCTAGACAGAAAGTGATGGGACTGGGTTGGGGTTTAGAGCGAGGAACAGGGGGCAAGAATGATGACGAGGTTGTAATGTGGGGTGGCAGCGACGAGGACACCGGCAACGGAACAGTAAACCGCCATGGGAAGACTTGTTTCCGAGGCCAGAGGAGTTTAGTTTTAGATGTGGAGCTTGTGGAGATGTCTGGCTGACTGGCACGGGCAGACAGACCGAGCTGAACTGGTGCCACTGACCTGGGTGAGAGGTGTGACAGGCAGCTTACCCTTACATCCCAACACAATTAAAGATAAGGGTCAGGTGTTGGGGTGAGAGATGTGGACTGGGGAGTCATTTACAAAGGAGAAATAGTAGAAGTCAAGGAAATAATGGCAGCTCTGCAGAAGTTTTAAAAAAAAAGAAACAACCAAGAATGGGTCTTCGGGTACCTCTGCATTTAGGAGACAGGAAAAGAAAATGCTGCCAATAAATAAACCAGAGAAAGAAACCAGGGACCTATTGCCAGTCATTTCTGCCCATTAGTTTACTTTTTCCAGCTGTGCAGGAGCCCTAATGCTGATGTGGTCATCGGGATTGAAGGCTGACTCAGTGGCAAAGTGAGGGAATAAAGACGTCTAAGCTGTGAGAGGTGGTGTTAACATAGCTAACACTGGGTACAGATTCAGGAGACAGGGAAGGGAAGCCAGGAGGTGGTTGAGAGACTGGGAAAAATAACTAGGACCGTGTGGATTGCCATCTGGGATGAGGGCGAAGGGGGAAGTAGAGGTGAGAAGAAGGGAGGTGTGCTCACACACAGGAAGTGAAGAATGGATGTGCTCTTGGGAACTGTCCTGGCACTGCTGCCTGAGAAGAGATGAAATAATTCTAGAGTAAGTTACTGGGCTTCCAGCGGCTCACTTTCACTGCCAGCCGAGCTATTCTTTCCTAAAAGTGCAAAGGCCAAATTTGTACTGTGCCATTCAGTTGAAATGATCCCAGCAGTGGAGGCTGGGATAATATTAGCTCTTTAAAGTCCGATGGCTCATCCACATCAGTCTTTCATTTTAATAAATTTTAATCCCAGGTGGCTCTCCCTGCCACCCAGTCCTCCAGCCTGGTCTCCCCATCTTCTACAGTTAATGTAAACTCAGAAGCTGCAAACCACATTGAGCCTGAATAAGAAAATAAGCCTTCTATGATGTACAGGGTCTGGCACAAATAATGCCCCTTCCTTATTATGAAATATTTTATTATAAAATCATAAGCATGTAATTCTTTTTTTTTTTAATACACAAAATTCTTTTCAAGTGCTGGATCATGAAATGTCTCAATATAAATCAAAGTCTTGAAATCACAAAAAGTATATTCTATGATCACAACATGTCAAATTAAAAATCAGTACCCATAAATTAACTAGAAATTGCCCAAATATTTTAAAAATTAAATATACTTTTTTGGAACATATCACACTCAAGTACACCATATGACATTTTAGGTGAAATGTTCAAATTGCTATTCATCTCCTGTGAGACAAGACAGTCAACCACACTCAACCTACCAAACACCCTCAAGCAGGTGTTACTTCTGCTGGACCCTGCACATATACTCCTAAAGGCACATGCAGATAATGCAGTAATGTGGGTACTGCCTGCTAAGCTGAAATGTCTACTGCACTGCTCTGTTCCCTTGGTGAGGTTACTAAGGGAGGGCATGAGATGCTACTCTTCTGCTATATTAACCTGCCAAGTTTATTTCTTCTACTGGAATCCTTTCCAACTGATTGTTAATATTTAAATAATTGCATTGTTGACTCAGATTTGTGTTACAGGTATTTTTTATGTGCTGTTTATTTGATCTGTAAAATGGGACTGCAGCAGTAACCTCCTTTGAAAATGCGTTATGATGAACAATTTTATGATTATATTTGAAAGGGAAATTTAACTAATGTATGAACTAATCAGATTATATGAAATTGTTATTCTTCTATACCATCAACACTGAAATGTCTTTAAGACCCACAGTGGTATAAGTAGAAGAGAAAGGGATGGGGAACAGGAGTTATGGACCTAAGTGATTAGTTAATGAAAATGTATGATATTCTTTTTTTTTAATACATGCTTTAAAAACAATAATGTGTTAGTCATCATGACAAAATGTTTGAATCAGTCATTTAAAACTCTTTAACTTTTCTGCATCTTCCCACTCACGCCTCACTCCACCCCCTCCCATACCACGCCTGGGTCGTTCCCATGGACCTTTCTCTCCTCCCCTTGTGCCCAGTCCCTCTTTCATGCCACTTCCTTGCAGAAGACGCACCAGAGTGCCCTGCAGGTGCAGCAGAAAGCTGAGGCACTGCTCCAGGCTGGCCACTACGATGCAGATGCCATCCGGGAATGTGCCGAGAAGGTGGCCCTCCATTGGCAGCAGCTCATGCTGAAGATGGAAGACCGGCTAAAACTGGTCAATGCCTCTGTGGCCTTTTACAAAACTTCTGAACAGGTGAGAGAAAGAGCTGTGAGATGTGTGAGGCTGAGACTGGTGGAGAATTATTTTCTGTGTCACACTGCTAATCTGCAGTATCTACCACAGCAAGAAGCCAGTCCTCTCAGTACTGACCTTTGAGAGGAGGAGAATGACTTGTGGAAAAACCATGATTGGCTTCCTTATAATGCTTCCCATTAGAGAAGTAGTCCATGTGATTTGCTTCTTATACATTTCTCAAACTTATTGGACCTAGCTGTTGAAATAGAAATTGGGTAGGTGTATGCTGAATGCTAGGGTGGAGTGGTGTAACAGTCAGCTATTGCCCCAGTAAAGCTGTGTAACAAAGCACCCAAAAGCTCAGTGGTGTACAACAATAAGCATTCGTGTTTTTTACTTAAGTATCTGGAGCTCAGGTAGTCTTGGCTTAGCTTGGTGGAACAGGCTTCAAGCCGCAGGTGGGATTAGATCTGTCCCCATGTCTCTCATCCTCCTTGACCAGCAGCTACTTGAGGCACATTTAGGGTGAAAGGCAGGAGTGCAAGATCTCAAAATCTATTGTGAAAGTGCATTTCAAGTCTCTGCTATGTCACATGCTCTAACAACCTTTGGGCCAAAAGAAGTCATTTAGCTAAGCTTCCTATGGAAGCTGGGAAAGGACAGTGACAATTTGATGAACATAATCTAATCTACCACAACCAGGTATTATGCATTGCTTGAAAAACATACAGTTCTTTCACTCATGGGGCTCCAGACTAGTAGAGAAAACACAGCTTTCTATCATTGGAGAACTATGCGCCTAACTTGTGGGATGGTGTCGTTGTGGGGAAAAAGGCAGGAATACATACAGCAGGGCCATAAAGATGCAGACCCGTTACTGTTGCATCTGTACAGCAATGTGCACAAAAGCTAAGTGGGTTTTTTAATGATTTAGATTTTTTAATGTTAGGGAATTTTTCCCATAAAATAGAGGTTTAAAACAGAAGTGATTTTATTCAGTGTAAAACGCTTTTCCTCATTACAGTTGCTCCCTAGTAGAAATAGATTGGAGAGACACTCTCTTCTAGGTTGCTTAGAGGAGCCCTGGGGAAGTGTCTAGGAGCAAACACAGCATGTCTGTCAGAGGGCCCTGCAGCCAGTGTTCCTGCCTCCACACCTTCTCTCAGTCCTTCCTGCTGCTTCAGGGAGATGATGCCTTCAATGGCCACAGAAGTGGGAGCAGCAGACAAAGATGATAAAGAGCTCCCCAACTGATCTATAAAATTCAACACAATCCTAATCAACTCACAGCAAGCATTTTTTAATAAAAACTGATATGCTGATTACCTAAGATTTATATGGAAATGCAGAAAAACGACTTTGAAAAGGAAGAACAAAGTTGAAAGAGTTACGCTACCTGACTGGGAGGTTTACCTTAACGCTGCTGTGATCGAGACAGAACAGTGTTGGGTGTGAGTGTGGAGTCCACGGGACTGAGTAGCAGTTCCGGAAGTAGACCCACATATATACAATCAGTTAATTTTTGACAAAGAAATTTAATACATAAAGTTTTTTAAACAGATGATTCTGGACAACTGAATATTCATATAAAAATGAGGTTTAATCCCTGTTTACTATCATACACAAATTTTAACTTGAGATGGATCAAACTACTAAAGGGGACAGAGCACTACATTAAGAGTCAGGAAATTTGACCCCGAACTAACTTTGTGAAAGGTCACTTTGTAGCTCAAGATTTCTGTTTCTCTGACTATTAAATTAAAGGACTTATGCTTGATAATCTTTTCAGCTTCCAAATTGGTTGAAGTCCAATACTAGGATGGGATAGATGTCAAGTACTTTTTTTCTTAGAGTTTTTGAATGTCTATAATGTTTTCTCTGAAGATGTGAGCCTTCCTGCATGTTCACATGCCTTGTCTAAGGAGAGATGTGTGGTGCTAGAGAAGTCATCCAGAGTCCAGCTTCAGGCCTCTCCTACACGAGAAGCATGTTGTATGAGGGTGTCCTACCTGGGGCATCTTTCAGCTCAGTTCATAACTTAATAAATGTCCTATCCAATGCCACACTCTCCATCAAGAAAGATAGCTTCCTCAGTCTGAGGAGGCCAAAGGTACTTATGGCTGCTCTCGCCTGCTGCCATAGTCAAGCAGGTAATCAAAGCCTATTGAAAGAAAGGTGAGGAATATGAATTTCTGTTTCCTGCCTCCTTCCCTGGGCCCTGACATGAGGCTGCCCTGGGCCTCCTACGGTTACACTCAACCTAACTTTCCCTCCAAGCCCCACTCTCAGTGCTTTTGCTTTTGCTCTCTTGTGAGTTTATTTAAAAGGTCATTTAAAGGATGGCCTCTCAGCATTTTTCAAACTGAAAAAGCTCCTTAACTCTTTTTTAGGTTAACCCAAATTTGTTATCCCTCTAAAGGAAATGTACACTTTGCAATAGAAGGCCTGGAGGTGTCATCACCATATGGTATCTTGAGACATTCTTGCTGGGATATTTTTTCACAGGGAGAGGAAGCATGGCATTCATTTATGGACCATACGTCACACAATATATAGGCAACTTCTTTATCTCTGCTTGAAACTACTTCCTACAGAGCAATTACAGATGGTTGGGCAACCTGAGTATCTTCTCCAAACCTCACTTTCCTCTACTACTTAATTCACACAGTTATCGTGAGGTTATATCAATATGATATATAAAAAACACTCAAAAATTACATAGTATCCCTGTCCCCATATCATCATAGTATCATGAGTCTCCATAGCTTCAGTCTTTATCCATTGACTGTCAGAGGATGACTCCAAAATCCGTATTTCAGCTTCAGTCTGTCTCCCAAGGTCTAGATGCTGGATCTCACTGCCTCCCGGATTTCTCTTAAATGTCCCAAGGGTACTGCCTCCCTGAAACCTGCAAACTGAACTTTGAATGAAAAGTTGTGCAGCTGTACCGGGTACTCTCTGCTGAAGGTCCTCATAAAATACTTCCCAACCGATTGATTTACTGAATCTTTTTGTTCCCACGATGCATTAGGTTTGTAGTGTCCTGGAGAGCTTAGAGCAAGAGTACCGGAGAGATGAGGACTGGTGTGGTGGACGGGATAAACTGGGGCCCGCAGCAGAGATCGACCACGTCATTCCTCTCATCAGTAAACATTTGGAGCAAAAGGAGGCCTTTCTGAAGGTGAGAGCACATTGTCATCCAAGGTCCAGGGCTTTAGCCTGTTCTTTCATCTACCTTCTTTCTCTCCCTCTTCCCCCTCTTCCCCCTCCTCTTCTCCCACCTCACCCCCACCCTCACTCTCACACACAGTGCTTCATAGGGCTTTCCATACCCCTGTTTTCTCTGGCTTCTGACCTAAAAGGCGGTATTTGTAGAGAAGATACTGGGTGGCTAACTTGAAAAGTTGAAAGGTCACACTTCAAGTGTTTACTGTATTTTGCTGTGTATAATGTGCACTTTTTTGTTCAAATTTTTGAGGGGAAAATAAGGATGTGTATTATACATGGGTAGTTCCTGAAATACCTGGTATCTGTTCTTGTGTTTTGTAATTATTTGTGACGTAAAATTTCTTGTACCATAATATGTTCAAAAATAAATGCTAAAATTCCTTTATAATACAAAGAACAAGTACCTAAATATAAATAAATAATTGAATTAAAATATTAAAATGAAAGATTTTTTTCCTGAAAGTTTGGGCCAGAAATGTAGGAGTGCGTTATGCATGGCAAAATACAGTATTTCTCTCAGGACTTTTTGTATAATTAGGCAGTGAAGATGCACCATTACTACTGGTACCATGTTCAAATATCCCAATATCCCATTGATGTTAATTGAGAAAAATACATATTTTCACTTAGTCGTTTGGTTTATTAAAATATTTTAATTGAAATATATAAATGTAGATATGAAACAATATTAAAATAAATCTTTTATAAAGGGATAATACAATGTTTAGGGCAAGAATTAAAAGCAATAAATGTATACATCTCACTTATTTGTAAGTTTAATAATTATCAATTACTGATCAATTAACACTGAGTATTCTGCTATATGAAGAGAGCAACACCTTATATTATTTTTCTTCTTTTTAATAGAGCTCTAGCTCCCCAGGGAGGAAGCACAGGAGCTGCCCTGAGCAGGCTTTCAGCGCCTGTGGGGAGTCCTCCTGACTCTCCTCCCGCCAGGCATCAGTCTTCCCTTCGACAGAGTCTTCTGTGTTAAAACTTATCTGAAGGCTCCACTCACTCTCAGGTTTCCTGCTTTTGGGTTCTGCTTCCTCTCAGGTTCCTGAAAGTACAAAAGAGAATTTTTATACCCTGCTTTGTTGCCCCTAATTTTCTACAATTCTGTAATTAACTGCCTTTCTTTTATTAGGGATTTTCCCTACTGGACCACCTTAATGAGTTTTATTTTTATTCTTTTTTTTAAGATGGCCTCCCCGGCCCTTCTCCCATGTATCTGTTGTCTGCACCTGCAGTCAATCAGCACCCTAACTAACCAACTCTTACCACATCCCTTCATGATGATATCAAATAGAGAGATCAAATAGAAATTCTTCTATACGGGGCTTAAGATGATTTTAAAAGTCTTCCCCATTATAAAACAAAATTTAAAACAAAACTACTTAAATAGAGCATATTGAAGATTTTAAATAAAGGTATAAAGGTATTTCGTTATAAGATTAAATGCTTCTTTTGAAGAAGGAAAAAAGAAAATGTTCTGATTATATGTTTTCCAAATGTGCCTAAAACTGTAGTCCAGAAACTCCCTGTTGTTGTGGGAAGTACATACCCAGTGGATGGGACACTAGTTACTCCACTTTGGGTTTCTTAGCTTTGAACCACCATCCAGCTGTTAAATTCATGGGCCTCTGGATGGACCCACCAGCAGTCTTTCCCAGAGGTCTTAAAAGCCATTGTTGCTAATGCAGCATTTAAACTATTTTCTACTATATAATTTGTAGAATCAGATGCTAAGAACAAAAGGTTTTAAAATTTGACAGTTTTGCCCCTGACCAGCTCGCTCCGTTGGGTAGTGTCGTCCCAATCTGCCAAGGTTGTAGGTGTGATCTCCAGTCAGAGCACATACAAGAAGGAACCACTGAATGCCTAAGTAAGTGGCACAACAAGTCTCTCTCTCCTTCTCTCCCTCCCTCTCTCTCCACCTCTTCCTCTCTCCTTCCCTCTCCTCCCCACCCTCTCTAAAATCAATAAATCAAACAATTTAAAATTTGACAGTTTTGTCTAGAGATAATGTAACTCTGAAAACTATGGGTTAAAAATTAGTGGGCTACCATGTATTACTTGTACAATCGGGGGGAAACTGATTTTCAAATAAATGCACATCATCTGTGATTTTGAGAGAAACTAGACATGCTGTCACTAGACCCAGGTTCTAGCCCTGGCTTGCTTCATGACTGCAGCCCTTTCAGGGCCTCAGTTTCCTCCATGGGTACAGCAACATGGGACAACTGTCCTCTCTGCCACTTCCACAACTGTGAGTCTTAAAAGGGCTCCTATAAGAGCTCTTATTCCTTTAGGTAGAGTGATATTTCTCAGCAATAGAGTATTTATTAGTGTTACCAAGGTGAGGGTTGTTTTGATGGACAAATAAAATTTTAAATGTGGATAATAGCCATTTCAATTTGGAATGCATGGTTAATAAGTTTGTTTCCCAAAGTCACCTTCTCAAGTCTAAATTAAACTAACATTAAAGTGACTTACACCAGTGGTAGTATAAGAGGCATTCTGGTGGCACAGAAAAACCAGCCTGAGAGTGAATATTAGTAATACTGACCCAGCTTATACTAGTCAAGGTATGGCTGATTTCTGATTTTTACCTGTAATGGAAAGGGAAGAGACACAGAAAGTAATTCTTTACTTAATGAAAGGGTGAGCCTCTAGCACTGAGTGTCCATGAGCCAGAGTGGCCTCCAGGGCTCTGCTCACCCAGAGCTTCAGAAGCCCCTTCTAGATGTCTTGGATCCCGTGCACCTGCTGGACCAGGACTTATGTGTGGGGGCTTCACACCTTTGTCTCCCTCAGGCCTGCACCCTGGCGCGGCGGAATGCTGAGGTATTTCTCAAGTACATCCACAGGAACAACGTCAGCATGCCCAGTGCCGCCAGCCATACTCGGGGACCTGAGCAGCAAGTGAAAGGTCAGTGTGAGACCTGCTGGCCACCAGCCACTTCAGAAGCACAGACCAGGGGCTGTGTACCTACCTGGTCTTCACGCAGTCTCAGATTTCCTGGTTTTTCTCCTTGGATAAGAAAAAATTAGATGTGGGATGGCATGGGCAGTGGTGATTCATGGGAGATTTTTAAAACATGCATCAAGATTTGGCATGGGAAAATGATGATAAAATTTCACCAAAGCCTCTTCATTTATATGTCTTAGAGCCTAGAGCAGTGCTGATACGACTTTCTGAAATAGCAAAAATGGTTTATGTCCAGGCCAAACAGCCTCCCAGCCACTAGTCACACATGGCTATTGAGCACTTGAAATGTGCCTTGTGCTACTGAAGAACTGAAGTTTTACTTCTACTGAATATTAATCAATTTAAACATAAACAGCCAAATGTGGGTAACAGCACAGTGCTAGGGTATCTTAGAGCCTGGGAATAAGACGAGTTCTAATCCTGGCCTTATTACTTCTTGCTTAAGTTTTTAAAATTTCAGTTTCCTTATTTAAAAATAGAGAAAGAGATCTAGATTCTTGCGGCTTAAAATGTGGTCCCCAGACCAGCAGCACTGACATCACTTGGGAGCTGTGAGAAACACGGGATTTCAGGCCCCTCCCACACCTACTGAGTCACCCTGAATTTTAGAAAGAGCTCCCCCATCCTGCTCCAGCCAGGTGACTTGTGTGTCCATGAACGTTAGCTAAGTACCGGTCTAGATAATCTTTAATATCTCTCTGAATTCTATAAAATTGATAACTATATACAAAATCAGGAACCTTTATAAACTACTCATTAGCTGACCACATTAAGTTTAAATGATTGGAATTGCTTACTCTGGACCACGCAGAAATTCACCTTTGAGTGGATATAGAATTTTACAAATGTTGTCTCAGACACACACAGAGAAATAAAACTTGGAGACCCAAGGCTGGGGAGGGAACCGAAACTGACTTGGAGTGAGGGGTGGGGGGCAGGCTTGGAGAGCTTCAGAGTGGCCCCCTGGAGGTGCTGATCTGCTTTAGGAAGAGCCTCCCTCCTGCTCAGAGAGCTCCCGTGGTGAGAAGATCAGAGACCAAAGGGAAGAATTAATTTTAGGAATCCAAGTCCCCTATAGAGAAGAGGGAAGCAGAGTTCCTTTTCCAGGTGTGCTGCCCCTGTGTTCAGCAACCCGGTGCGTGGCTGGCTTTATGCCAGCCTCCCCTTCCTGCCCATTTCAGAGCCTATGTTCTGACTTCCAAATGCAGGTGGCTGCTGGGGTGAGACCAGCTACCTGCTGAGAACAGACACTCCACCTACACCCTAGTGTGCTGAGAGCAACAGGCACACAGAGAGAACAGGACATGCTACAACTTTGTTGGGGTGAGGGCAGGTGCTTGTCCATAGGAAAGCTTTTTTTAAAAGAAAGTAAAATGATTGCTTCCAGCACTTGGCTATTGTAAAGGGGAAGGGTTTACAGGAACAAGTATAAAGGACTCATGGACAAAAACTAGGGGGGATGGAAGTGGGGGGAAGGTGGGGAGCATTGGGGGGTGGACTGGGATGGGAATAAAAGACAGAAAGCTGTACTTGAACAACAATTAAAAAAAAAGAAAGTAAAATGAAACCTGAAACCCTTTAGGATTTTTGCCAGATGTGGGTTGATTCTGTCAACTCCCACAGAGAGAGCTAGCTGCAAGGAGCGAAGCTCCAACTAGGAGACAGAAAGACTAAAGCAAACACAGGTTCTCACTCATCTGCCCAGTTGAAGCTGCCACCCGAGCAGGGACCTACAGTCTTCCCTGTATCCATTTCCTTTCCACTGGCTGCCTGGACCCAACGCAGTGCTGCTTATTTTAATTTTTTATACAGGAGCAATGATTGCTGTAAAAACAACCAAAAAATTCAGTGGTATACTGTTGTAAACATTTACTGTTCAAGTGACTGTGTGTTAGCTGGGCATCGCTGTCTTGGCGGGGCTCAGCACGGCGGTTCTGCTTCAGGCTGCAAGGCTGGCTGGCTCGGCTCCTTCGCTGCAAGTTAGGTTCCTGTCTGCTCCATGTGTATAAATTCTGGGACCTTGGTGGAGGGGACAGCAGTTACCCAGGAGAACTTCGTATAGTGCTGATGGTAGAGACAGGAGGCGAGGTCAGTGTGCAGTACACTTCAAGCCCCTCCTTCCGTGGCATTGCTCATCTGTTTGCCAAAGGAAGTCACATGGCCGAGCCTGAGGTCAGGGGTGAGAAAACACATTTGTCTCTTCGGGGAGAAACTAAAAAGTTACATGGCAAAGGCATAGATGTAGGGAGAACTGAATAATTGGGGCCTAGAAAAGCTCTCAGCCTGAGAGAAGAAGGACAGATTTCATCCTTAGAGAGCCAGACTTCCATGGAGCATTAAAAATTCACAAAATCAACCAGAAACTTCTAAGTATAAGTACAAGCACTGCGATCTGGGTTGTGTCCTTTATTGTAGAGCACAGTAACTTGTGCTTTACAGCCCGATGAGCCTGGAGACCAAGGGGACTAAGGACTCGGGTCTGAAGTCAAGCAGCTCTACCCCTTCCTGCCTGAATGACCGTGAGCAAGCAACCTCTGCTCTCTAAACCTCGATTTCTTCATCATAGAATGGAGACAATAATGGTGCATGCATCATGAGGTATTGTGAAAATAAGTCTACCACATAGTGAGGGCCTAATAAATGTTAATTTTTATAGAATCCTATTGTATACTTTATTGACATCTAATATAGTTAGCAGCAAGCAGGAGGCAGACATAATACAAAATAAATTTTATTGTTTCAAGCATAAAACATTCTATTAAAATATGTAGGAAACCCATCCCTGTGGCCAGTTGCTCCTGAAACAACAAAAGAAGGGAGGGCGATGAGATGGACAAACGCCTCCCACGACCCACTGTGTGAGGAGCTGTATGTCCTGTTCGTATCCTCACACTTAACGTCATCAGAGGGAACGTGAGACCAGCTTCCAGCTTTTCTGGTGATCGCATCCCCAACAACGTGGCAGTTTGGTCCGAAAGATATGATTCCATGTGGACGTGATTCCAACACGTCCCGTGGCCCACAATTTGGGGACTTTAAAATCGAGGCTCCACTGTTAAAGTGCTGTTTGCACAGCCTTGTGAGCAGGGCAGAGTGGGGCACATGCCTTGGGTTCCCCGTGCAGTTCCACCAGCCCTCACGTCACGGTTCCTCCTCACTCTCTCCTAGAATTCCTCAAGAACGGCTGGGGTTCCTGTCAGGCCCATTCACTCTTACAGGCTCTAGGGGCCAACTGAGTTGTTGTTTTAGGGACTGACACTTTGTATGACCTCTTACCCTCGAGGACAAGCTTTGATGTGAAAAGGATCAGGGTTACTTTTAAGTCACCCTAGGGACATACTCTTCTGTCATTAATTGATGGAACCTCATCAACAGGCTCTCAGCCCATCCTCCCCCATCCTGTTCCCCTCTGGCAAGTTCTCTCTGGAACATGCTCTTCCTCCCTTGCTTCTGATGCCTGGGTGAGTCCTGTGGGGAGGCCTGAAAGTCCACAATTATCTGACACCCAGGACGTGGGGCCAAAGTGGCTGGTCAGATTTGTTCGGGGCCTTCCTGTGACCAACGCTCATCTCCTCTGTCCTGCAGCCATCCTGAGTGAGCTCTTACAGAGGGAGAACCGCGTCCTGCACTTCTGGACCTTGAAGAAGCGGCGGTTAGACCAGTGCCAGCAATACGTGGTGTTTGAGCGCAGTGCTAAGCAGGTATGTTCAGAGTTTTCCCTGGCTCTGTCTCAGTTCAAGGGACTGTACAGAGGCCAAGGTGACCAACACTTGGGACATCCAGAAGAGGGTCATAGCAGCAGGCAGGGTGGAGAAGATGGGAGGTGGGGATGAAGAGAGGAAAGGGAACAGGCTGCCACTTACCGGTCACTCAGCCTTTACCAAGCACTCTGTTTAGAGTTTGGTACCAGGAGCTGGGAAGACATTGCAGAAGAAGATTACCCCTAATTCATGGTGATATGGGGTCAGTCTAATGAACAAAACACCTTCTTTGTCCATGGGAGGTTCCAAGTCAAACAGGGGAGGGCTCATTTATAAATCAACTTCCAAGCGCAACTTTCGTGGTAGCATGGCATGCTTTCCTACTGACAGCTGGCTTTTAGGGGACTGGGTGAGTTGTTTGCTCCCACAGGCGCTTGAATGGATCCAAGAAACAGGTGAATATTACCTCTCAACACATACCTCCACCGGAGAGACCGCAGAGGAGACTCAGGAACTACTGAAAGAATACGGGGAATTCAGGGTGCCCGCCAAGGTAGGAAGCATGCCGGGGCCTTCCTCAAACCTTCCTCGGAATTCTCCATTCTGACCAGTTTCACACTGTGGAAGGTAGAACAGCCTCTTGCACAAAAATGCTTAACCACAGTGGCAAGAGTGGGGGTGAAGAACAGGTAGGATTATCTCCTTTGACACCCGAGTACCCAAAGGATTGCAGCTGCTGGGTAGAGCCTCTGTATGCAGAAAGTCAGCTCCTACACACTGCTTCCAAACACTCCTCTTCATGCTCTGGGTTCTGGAATCTGCTATATTTGGCCCCCAAATATAGCAGATTTGGGGATGGCTTAGGATATCTATCCACCTTATGAGAAGGGCTGAAGACTATGCGTGTGTTCACAAAACAGGTGAGTTTATTTCCAGTTTAAATCCATGTTGTTCAAGGGTCAACTGTACTTCTGTCTGGCCTCAGACCTGCAAATGAGCTGGTCTGGGGTCTCTGGGGACCATATGTTCACTGGCGCACCCCTACCCCCCGGCCACACACACCCACTCCCACTGAGGCAGAGACTGCTACGGCAGGAGGAAACCTCGTTTTCATCTGTTTCCACAGCCAGGATTTGATCTGAGGACCATTAGGCTTGAATGGAAATCTGATCTGTGTGAGTGCCCTCTTTGTAGGGCCCTGGTCCCTCCCCCTGGACTCCCTGCCCTGGAGGAGCCTTTCTTGGCACCACTTGCATGCAAGACAGATGCTCTTCCCTGGTTGAGAGCTGATTTTGTGGGAGTGAAGGGGGGCACATTAGTGCCCCACCCTACCCAGAGATCCCTCTGACACTATGGCAAACGTTCCCCTAGTTCGCTATGACAAAATTAGGCCCTTAGCCTCATTCCTGACCTGGCATTTCAGAAGCGGTCACCCCCTTTATGAATCCTCCACTATGAACTCTTGATAGTGGGAGGCCTTCCCCTGCGTTCTGTGAGCCTTTGGGCCTTTTTGCCTAACGTGAAAAGCTGTCAGTTCAGAGAAGAGGCTCATTTCAATACCAGCCAAAACAAACAGCACTAGGAAGGTGGCAGGTGCACAGAACCCTTTTCAAGTCCAAATGAAAATGGTTTTTAAATTAGCCACTTTGCATCTATCTGCCTCTCTCTAAATAGTGTCGATAATGAACTGCTAACACACTGAACAGTGCCAGCTTCCCCGGTGTTCCTAGTCACATGGGGTGGGTCCCAACAGACACCCGGGACTTCCCAGGGTCAGAACCTGTCCATAACCAGAACAGAAATGTGGAGAATCATTTAGTCAGTTTAATCCATTTTTCCTTTTCCATCATCTGCCTATCTTTTCTCTTTTTCTACTCACATTGCTACCAGCCCAGTTGAGTTTCATGCTTTTGGACTTTCCTTCCTTTCAGCCCATCCTCCTCTTCATTGTGGTTCATCTTTAAAGCACTACTGTGGTCACATTACCACCCAGCTCAAGAACTTGAATGATTCTCCAGTGCCTCAGGCTAACACTCAGCAGCTTCTACAACTGATACCTCGACACCCCTGCTTTATCTTCAATTATTCTTTTATGCACATTCTAGCCAAATAGATGTACTTTCTTAACCTTTGAGAGACACCTGATATACTTTCTTTCCTCTGTACTGTTTCTATTCTATTTTTCTGCCTAGAATATCCTTCTTCCCCTCTATTTTGTACTTTTTAAAAGAGCCCACCTTCCTACTGCAGCGCCTTCTCCTCTGTGATCCTGCCTCCATGCCAGGACATGGTCTGGCCCAGCCCTGGTCTGGACTGGTATGGACTGTCCTGTTCTCCAGTGATCTCTGTACCCTGTTATTCCCTGTATGAGCCAGCAGGATCCTGAAGGACAAGAACTACTCTTTATTCACTTACCTGACTTATCTTTTGCATTGAAGAGAGGCCACAAGTATTTGTGAATGTAAAGGAAAAAAGAAATTTGGAAAAAAGGAATCATTAAATATATCGATATCGACATTTAATATGATTCCTTTACTTTGATTCTCTGAGTGGCTTCTTCTTCTTAGCTTAGCTATTTCTGCTAATGGGGCTTCACTCATCTATCACGATCCAAGTCTCGGAGCTATTTGGTATTAGAATAACTACAGAATAACAAATCCAGTTAAGGAGCTTCTGATGAAAGGCGACAGCCTCTTGCCTACCCCAGTCCCATTTCCCTGAGGAAAGCCTCTTTTAAGCAGACAGCTTTGGTTTTAACCTTTATAACCAATGAAATACATTTGAAATAAAAAACCAAACTGATGTTAAACAACAAGAGAGTAAATACGGTGGACCTCATGACTAACAGGGCAGTAGAGCATATTGAATTATTATACTCTGCCCTAGAGAAACGCATTCAGTAAAAGCAACACTGAATATAAAAATATACTTTCTAATAGCTATCCACAAATATATGCCATAGACAGAAGAATATAAAACTTTCCTATGGTATATTTTAAATTTATAAAGAGTCCAGGCACACGGTGATAAGAAAGCTTAATTGACATCTGGAAGAACTCCTTTCTTCTAAAAGCAAACTTTTAAAAAAAATTCTCTTGTTTTTAACTTCTTAGAATTTATTGCTTCTTAGTGTAGTCACCAGGTGTACAGTCATTGCCACTGTCTAATTCCAGAACATTTTGGTCATCCCCCAAACAAGCCCCATGCCCATTAACAGCCACTCCCCACTGCCCCTCCCTGCAGGCCCTGGCAGCCACTAACCTCTCTCTGGGTATCCCTGCTTCGGACACTGCCTAGAAATAAAATAATGGAATCATATAATATATAGTCTTTGGTGTTTGGCTTCTTTCATGAGGTGTAATGTTTTCAAAATTCATCAATGCTGTGGCACGTGTCAGCATTTCATTCCTTTTAATGACTAAATAATATTCCCTTATGTGGAAATACCACATTTTTGTTTATCCATTCTTGTGTTGATGGACATTTGGGCTGTGTCCACTGTTTGGCTACTATGAATAATGTTGTTGGGAATCTTCATGCACAAGTTTTGATGTGGACATATGTTCTCCATTCTCTCAGGTATATACCTGGGAGTGGAATGACAGGGTCACATGTTGAGCTTTTTGAGAAACTGCCAAACTGTCTTCCAAAGTGGCTACTTGATTTTACACCCCCACCAGCAAAGCATCAGAGTTCAGACGTCTCTGCGTGCTCTGTAACACTTGCTGCCGTCCATCTTTTCTGTGTAGTCATCCTTTATAAAGTATGAAGGGACACCTCACCGTGGCTTTGACGTACATTTCCCAGTGAGTAATGATGTTGAGAAGATACTTTTTTTAACTGGTAATTTTATCTCTGAAAAGAGCTATGAGATAAACTGGACTTAATTCTTATTAACAGAGAATTAAGGGGTAATGAAAGTTCCTGGAGCCTTAGCAGAGCGGAATTACGCCTCGGAATTCAGACTGTGGGAAGAAGGAGCTGTGAATGCTTCAGGCACTTTAGAATGAGAAGAATGGACTCGAAACAGTTCAGATAAAAAATGGGCGTAATCTGTTTTTGAGACTCTTAAGAGAAATATAGCTCACGCCCGATGTGTACTATTGAAAGGTTTGGTTGTTTGTGTATGATGACAAACTCTCCTGTGGAATGAATGGGAAGATATGTCTCAGCAGAACTGTTTACCCACATGGGGAGCTCAATAGGTCTACGAAGACTGTGTCAATCAATACATAAAAAGAATATCAGCAATGAAAGGCAAATTAGAAGTTTATACTGAAATTATAAGAATAATACCAAAAAGCTAAACCTTAAAGACTTATCATATGTGCTGAAGACACCAAAAGGACTTTTGAAAAACTATATTCGGTGTAAAGTTCACTGATTAGGGGAAGATTGTATAGTATTAACTGGTCAAAGGAAGGAAGAAAAAGAAAAGAAAAAGAACTACTGAACCCTTTTTTTAACATATTTTTTCTAGCAGATAACATAGAACTCAAAGTGGAAGTGGCAGAACATGTATTACAGGACACATGAAGCCAAGATAAGTGAGATATCAGTTCCAAGTTTCTGGGCCCAAATGAACTATATTCCCCCAAAGTTTCCCTTTTGTCCACAAGATTATGTACATACCTCTGAAACTAACATCCAAGGGTGCCTGCAACCTGCGTCTCAAACTGGCTCAGGTTATGAAGGGTGGGGAGGTACTGTGTGGCTGTGTGTGGAAACAAAGAATATAGAAACCATGGTGCTGGACCTCCAGGAACCCAGGAAACGGTGAATGGCTCAGCCTTACGGGAGAAACAGGAAACGTGGCAGAGTCTCACCTCTGCAGGTGTGCCGAAGACTGCGGGCAGTTCCAGCAGCCACGCTTTCTGGTCACCTCATCACAGAGCATCAGGGATACGTTACCACCATGCAGCTTCCTTTCACTTCTCTCTGCTCTCTCTGTTTCCACCGCTGCTCTGCAACCAACTACTCAGTGCCCCATCTTTGCACTTCATATTCCCAGAGAAACCGCCTCAACTGACCCAGTATACTGCCACTATCCCTGTTTAGACAGAGCTTTTAGGACAGGACAACTCAGAAATGACTGGCTGCATGTTGATAGGCTATCCATATGGGACAAGTTTTTACCTCTGACCTTGTGTGACCAGGCACGTGGCAGATCCAGTGGTACCACTAGAGTCATTCGTGAGTGAGAAATCACTTCAGACTCCACTCGGCAGGGGCTGTGGGTGTGCTTGGTGTCCAGTTCATGGGCCAAATTTATCATATGATTTTTCCAGGTATAAACCCTCTGCTCTTACTGGTGTCGCTTTACACACCTCTAAACACAAGATTTACTCAGTCCTTTGCTCATTCCTTTCTTCAACATTTATGGTAAGCCCACTATTTTCTAGGATTGGAGATGAATAAGTAAGATAAAACACATCTTATAGGAGTTCATGGTCTAATGAAGGAGGCTCATACATGATTCAATGTGATACATGCTTAAGTACAGGCATATACGTGGTCCAATGTGATATATGCTGAAGTAGAGGCATGTACATGGCTCAGTGTGATACATGCTTAAGTAGAGGCATATATGTGATGCTGGAGGAACACTGGGAAGGGCATCACCCACTCAAATTGTGGAGAGGAGAGGGGACGAAAAAGGGCCATTGGATTAAAACAGAGAGAAGTAGAAGCCACTCATCACAGCAGGAGGGGCATGTGAGGTGCAACACGGCTGCAGGTTAGGGGCCATGGAGGGCAGAGGAGACGGCCTCAAAGGCAGGTGAGTTCTCACGGGGAAGGGCCTGTCTGTACTGCACATTTTGTTATCCGTTTGCTCTCCCAGACTCCACACTTACTTGGAAGACCCTTGGTCACAAGCCATTCTTTTTGTTGACTCTAAACCACAGTTTTGATGTTTCAGGATAAAATTCCCTCTGGTGGGGCTGCTGCCACCAGCTTTCCATAAAACCCCATCTCATGCTGAAGTCTCCTTACCAAGAGAAGAGAATAAACATGTATTGCCAGGAATTTACACAAAGGCAGGTTTCTTATTTATAGCTGCAAAAATTAAACTTTAAGTAAATAGAAAACCTAAAAAAAATTGTTTTTAGGGAGGAAAAATAACCTAAATGCAATAAGATTGAAGTCCTTAGGATACCAGGTATCTTTTCCCAACCAATTCCAAATACCACTATTCTTAGTCTTTTCATGGCTAAGGAGGTATTTCTCCTGTCCTCATGCCCATTTTCTTTTCTTCACATCAAAGCTCTTCTGGTTCCTTGTCTCCCAGCCCTGGGTGCCACCCCACTGTCCTGAGACAGGAGAGACTCAGATGTATTGAGTTGCTACAGCGCTGAAGCCTGCCTCTCCTTGGCCATGTGGCAGGCCAAAGTCCTCTCTGCTTGCGTCGCTGGCATTTCTTGGGAGGGTCAGTGATGTGGGAGGGGTTATGATGAGTCTGGAAAGGAAAGGGAGGGTGAGAAAGGCTCTTCTGTCTTTTCTCCTCTTCCTCCAGTGATTTTCTGCCCATTTCCCTCAGTTATCTAGATTGTGGAATGATCCAAACCTGGGACTTACTTTCCTCCAGTCCCAAAGATAGTTTTGCCTCTCAGAGTATTATTTCAGTATTCTTTCTTAAAGCTGTTAGGCTTCCCTGATTGATTTTAGAGTTTCAAAATCTAAACTTAAATAAAAGATGAGCAAGTGTTACTTGTTTGAACATCCCTTCCATTTCCGTGTCTTAAGTCCCACCTATGAGACCTTTTCTGCCCATGCCAGCACACCTTGATTCTTTTCTTGTCCTAAAATTTCTGCAGTGTTAACTATACATACTTCTCATTTTGGCATTTGGTGACATGGCACCCTCAGTTGTTTAACTACCCTCTGAAAATCTGGTCCCTTGTAGAAATATAAAGAGAAAAAATAGTATCTTTTTTCTTCTTTTGTTTCTCCCCCTAGCTTCTCCCCACAGCCCTCTACACTCAGAGTAGGTGTCAGGCAAACTCTTGCTCAAAATGAAATTAATCTTGCTCATAATGAAATTACATCAGAGCTCCACCTTACTTTGCTCTGTCATGGATACCAGCTTCATTAATTCTTTCCTCTCTTTCTCTGTGGAAGCTAAAGACAGATCCTGGGGGTGAAAGGGACATGGTTTACTTTTAAATCTGCTGACTGGACTTCCTTATGTACTGGCATGTGCCACCTTACCTGATGCTTAGAAAGCCTACTTCAGGGCAGTACAGTGAAGGGAGAGAACTCACAACTACGGAGCAGTGGCAGACAGGCTGTTACTTGCAGGTGGTATGAACCTGGACAAGACCTAAGTCTTTAGACCTGGTTTTTGTTTTTTGTAATCTGTGGTTTTAAAGAGACCATTACCCCCTTCCTCCACCACCTACCTCTTAGGGATGCTTTAAGATTCAGATAAATCTTAGATGTGGCAGTAACATAGTCTGTAGCTGGTAAAGTGCTGTAGTGTAAGAGGTTCTTGCATTAATAATCATAGCAACTGACATGTATTGCTCACTGAGTTCTTACCGTGAGCCTGTGTTTCAGGCACCCTTCTGAGTGCTCTATACCGCACTTCACGTAACACTCACATCAACCGTGCGACTGAGACACTGTTATGATCCATATTTTGCAGATGAAGGAACTGGGGCACAGAGGGTTTAAGTAACTTGCTCAGGACCCCCCAGCTAATAAGTGACAGAACTCGGATATAAACCCAGACAGTCTGTCTGTGAGCTGCTGTGAGGAAGGAAAAAGGAGATGGGGGTGAGGGCCTTGAAAGTAAATGTAACCTGATAACTTAAAACCATCTTTTGGGGCAGCAAACAAAGGAGAAGGTGAAGCTTCTGATTCAGCTGGCCGATAGCTTTGTGGAAAAAGGCCACATTCATGCCACAGAGATCAGGAAATGGGTGACCACGGTGGACAAGCACTACAGAGACTTCTCCTTGAGGATGGGGAAGTACCAGTACTCCCTGGAGAAAGCCCTAGGAGTCAACACAGAGGTGGGTATGGCAGCTGCCCAGCTGGGACAGCCTCCTTTCTCATCTCCCTCAGTGCTGCTGCTGCTGCTGGCGTTGCTGTGGAAGGAAGCGTGGTTTCCAGGCCAGTCTTTCTGAGCTCCTACCGCACTTGCCTTGTGTGGTTTTCTAGTGGAAGGGTGGATCTTCCTGAGCCATCTAGCCATTGGCCTCTAGCCTTGCATGATGAGTGATATACATTCAATATATATAGCAAAATTGGCAGGCTACAGTCGGAACCCGTGGCTACAGAACAGAGTTTTGCTGTGTGAAGCTAACTGTTGACTTTGAGGACTAAACCCTTTATCTTGGCTTCATCAGTACCATCTTCTACCCAATTACGCTAATCAGCAAATGATTAGAGTCGTCAGTGTGTATAACAGTGCTCTTTCAAGAATAAAGGATGCAGTTTGTACAAAGGTTATTTGACATTTCAGCTGAAGAGAGGTTCTATTTTACCATAAAGCTGGGGAAGGCTGACTTTTAATCTCTTCTTTATAATAGGGGTCAGTGACCTATGAATTAAAAACTAAACACAGGCTGGCAATTCAGCCCTAGGATTTCTAATTCTTAAATCTTTAAATAGGCTCATGCTCTAAAGCACAGCAGACTAAAGAGTACAGTGGTCAAGCCACTGAAATTAGGCTTTAACCTGTGAGATTTTTTCCTAGAAGTTTCCATCCTATGTAAATACCAAACAGTGTTGAAATAAGCAGGGATGGGCAATTAGAAAATTCAGTAATTGTTTTCTATTTCCAAGGAATTTGCTTGTTTAAATATTTGCTTTTATTATTTTCCCTTGACAAATGAAAGTTAATTCCTATGTCTTTGTGTGTTTCTGTTTCACATATATTTTAATGGGTAATCATCAATCTTGGACTAATGTTGTGCGTATGTGTTTAGATTTAATCAAGACAAAGTCCTTGAGGAAGTATGACACTAATTATCAAGTGTGTTCATTGTGTTTCCCTGCAATGGATGTTAGCCCTAAACATTTGACCTGAACATTTCATATCTCTCTTATATGAGAAAAAGTCATCACGTGAAGAAGGGTGCTTGTGGGTGGCAGTCTGTGGGACTTCCCATCTTCTCATCCTTCTTCATTATATCTTTCCCTATTTTTTGCCTCTGCCCCCCTCCCCTACGCTACTTAATTGTTTTCCCAAAGCATCTCCAAGGTGACCTCTGTGGTCTCTCTGTGTGTAGGACAACAAGGACCTGGAGCTGGACATCATCCCAGCAAGCCTTTCGGATCGTGAGGTCAAGCTGCGGGACGCCAACCACGAAGTCAATGAAGAGAAGCGGAAGTCTGCCCGGAAGAAAGAGTACGTTGGCTTCCACCCAACTAAGCAGCCTCCTCATAACTATGCTTGGTTCTCTTTGTTACTTGTTGCTTTACAGCTTGGTGTGTGCTCATGACTGCCTACAGAGGTTAGGATGGACATAGGCGATGCTTCTGCCCGCATGTCACACTAGCCAAGAATGAGAGGGCATTGGGTAGTGGAAACGGTGAATGACGTCCACGTCACAAAGCATTGCCTGGCTACTCCACTTTCTTTATGTTGGTTTTATCGCACAGTTACATATGTATCCAAAGATCTTCAAAGGGACTTGTAAGACTATTGTGACAGAGTCCTTTTGGGTAATACTGGGGAAAAACAGTGTTTCCTAAGATTAAGAATCCCTAGGTAGCTGATTTTATAAAAATGAAGTAGGACATGGGTCCCTTGAAGCTGGCCTGCTAAGTCAGAGTTTCTGTTTCACCTGGGGAGTATATTAGTTTGTCTGGGCTACTGTAAGGAAGTATGACAAATTGGTGATTTAAACAACATAAATGCATTGTCTCACCATTCTGGAAGCTGGAAGTCTAAAATCAAGGTGTTGACAGGGTTGGTTGCTGCTAAGGCCTAAGAGGGAAGAATCTGTTCCAGGCACTTCTCCTTGCCTTAGAAATGGCTGTCTTCGTGTTTGTATGGCATCTTTCCTGAATATATGCATTCATCCAGATTTCCCCCCTTTTTAAAGACTCTAGTCATTTTGGAATAGGTGCCCCCCCATTCCAATATAACCTCATCTTAACTAACTACATCTGCAGTGGCTATTTCTAAACAAGATTCCATTCTGAGGCTCTGAGAGTTGGGACTTCAACATATGAAATTTGGGGGAGGGGACACAATTCAACCCATAAAGGGGAGGAGAATGGACCACACCTGGCCAAATCTTGCTGCCGGGCTCTTTCTGGGGCACAGAATAGCCAGAGGATGGCAATGGCAGTGGAGCCAAATTATGAAGAAAGACACAAAACTGCAGGAAGCAGATGGAGAAAAAGGAGGGAGAAGGTGGAATGCCAGAAACCCAATACAGTAAAATCAAAGACAACTTTCCCAAATATGTCAGATTCTAGTCCTTCTGACCTTCTTTCCCTCCTTGTTTACTAAGTACCTACAACGTACTAGAAACTTTGCTTACATAATCTTGTTTAATTAATACTCGCAGCAGTCCTGTGTGATCATCTGTTTTATAAGTAAGGAGTCTGAGGCTGGGAGAAGCAAATACTCCCTCTGGTAGATAACAGAGTCATAATTGGATTCCTGTTTGTCTGACTTCAAAGTTCATGCACTTTCCAGTTTACCGATTGAGTAAGAATAGTAACAGAGTGGCCAATTAACTCCTGCAAAAGGGAATTTTTAAAATCAATACTTTAATTCTAATAGGAAGGCCACTGCTAGTACAATGTATCGCTTTAAGCAAAATCCCACCACAATAAAGGCCCAGGAAAATATCCTGCTTGTTTTAATGTTTCCTGTAATTTCCAACAGGTCACACATTAGGGGCAATATTTCTCACAATTTTCATGTGATGGAACACCTGGAAATACTACTATGAAAAACTAACATGGAAAATCTAAAATAAATGTAAATACATTGTGTTGCAGCCTGTCAAGGCCTGGCAGGTCCACTCCAGATTCAGGCAGACAAGAGAAAATGCACAGAGCCCTGGGGGTGCTCGACATGCCTTTATTCATGGCTGGATGAGCCACGCACGCTGCAAGCTGCGTACCCCTGCATATCTGTGTGGCACACTGCATGTCACCTGTCTCCTTGCATGGCACATGTCATGGCACTCAGCAGGGAGTCCCTTACCTGCTTAAGTACTAGAACACAGACCAAGCCAGAAGGGTGCCAACAGATCTTATGCAACAGAGCTTCATACTACACATACGAGCCCACTCAAGGTTATGGAAACAATTTTTCAGACCCAGTCTCAAGGCTATGAGAACAATACTTATCAGGCCATTCTCAAGGCTATGGGAAACTGCTTCCCTTAGTAACCCAGACACCTGGGTGAGGAAGCCAAATGCCTCCACTTATGCTACATACATACTTTGTGCTAAATTACATATTATTATATATCACATGACTGCTGGGAAGCACCATTTTTTTCAATATTTTATTTATTTATTCATTTTTAGAGGAGAAGAGAGCAAGAAAGAGAGGGAGAGAAACATTGATGTGTGGTTGCCTCTCATGCGCCCCCAACTGGGGACCTGGCCTGCAACCCAGGCATGTGCCCTGACTGGGAATCAAACCATCAGCCCTTTGATTCACAGACCAGCACTCCATCCATTGAGTCACACCAGCCAGGGCCATTTCTAATAAAAATTTGCAAAAGGAGAAACTTAAGTTGGCACACTACAGTGAAGCCATGTACCTGTCAGAAGCTCACCAGCTACCCAAGCACATGGTGTTGTTAGGGAGCCGCCCCCTGCAGATGTGCTGCACAAGCATCTATTTATGTGAGACAGAGGAGCAGTCACTTAACTCGTCCACTTGTGCTGGGCTTGTCATCACACACTCAGTTTCGTGCGCTTCAGTCTGGGATGTAAATGAGCCCCATTACAAATAGTGTTGAAGTGCACAGGGCAAAGGTCAGCAAACTGTGGCCCACAGGCCAAATTATCTCACCATCTGTTTTCTTCTTAAAATTAAACTTATTGGGATGACATTGATTAATAATCACCTGTTTTACATTGTCTGTAAGCTAAAGATTCTTTTTTACATTTTTAAATGAATGAAAAATATGAAAAGAAGAATAGTAGCAATGTGAAAATTAAATGAAATTCTATAGTGTCCACAAAGTTTTATTGGGACACAGCCACACTAACTTATTTTTGACATATTGTCTATGGCTCCTTTCCATATGGCTATGTTGAGTGGTTATAACAGAGACTGAATGGCTCTTTACTGATAAAAGTTGCTAACCCCCCAGTCTCAGTGGTAGCATCTTAGCATTTGTTATTTTTAGCTCTGAAGCCTGGTTTAACTTAAAGCACTGTGAATTGTTTTGGTATAAGTCAACAACTCCACTAAACAGAAGCCATCACTCTGGGAGCCGTAAGAGAGATGTAGAAAGCTGAGACTGAAGCTACGTGGTTGGTAAGAATGAATGTGAACGGTGCTGCATGCACACATGCAGGCACATGTGCAGTTGAGAACACATACGTGTCTGCACAGAATCACAACGTAGGGGAACTGGGAGGGAAAAGGGAGAGAAGATGGGGAAGCAGCTGAGCCTGAACATGCCAAAAGGAGACAGAGCAAATGATCAAAGTGAGAGGGACTCAGACCTAATACTCAGAGGCAAGGAGTTTTGAAGAAAGGAAGAGACGTATTTTGATAAAGTAGAAAAATAGGACATTCAATAATGTCATACATGCCAGGGTGGGGAAGTGAAGTTTGAAGGAGGGAGGTGTATCTCTAACCAACTAAATGCCACTGTGTTTCCTTCCAGATTCATTATGGCTGAACTGCTCCAGACAGAGAAGGCTTATGTAAGGGACTTACATGAGTGCTTAGAGGTAAGTCTTGCAGCAATCAGTTAACAACTGTATTAGAAAGATGGTTCTTGAGAAGGAGCTCAGGTCCTCAAGAGGAGCTCAGTGCTCTTTGTCTTCTCCCAGAGCTTAACAACTATCAGAATCAATAGTAATTGCATGGGAGTTTAAGGCACTTTTGAAAAGAAACTTTTCTCAGACTCAGGCTAGACCCAGTAAAAAAGTATGTAAGACCCTTGAGTTCAAAATAAAAACCATGACACGGTTGGTGAACTTGAGTCTGAAAGCCTACACCCTCCACTCGACACACACTTGAACATGCACACATTTAATAACTAAGAACAGTGTGGGTTTTGTGCACTGACCAAAGGTCAGGATGTGTTTCCCTAGCAACAGTTCAAGATAATGGAAGTCGGATTTTCTTTCCTTCCTTCCTGCTTGTGTACTGTCTCACTTTTTACACTCTGCTCGCATTGCCAACCCAAGTCTTACGCCACGTGTTTGGAGGCCTGTTCATTTCATCTGTATTTCATGTGGCAGTTCTTGCCACTGATGAAACTGTTGCTGTCTTTCAGACCTACCTGTGGGAAATGACCAGTGGTGTGGAGGAGATCCCCCCTGGGATCCTTAATAAAGAACATATCATCTTTGGCAACATCCAGGAGATCTACGATTTTCATAACAAGTAGGTCGGTGGAGGGTTTCAGTGGAGCACACTTAGGGCCATACATATCAAACCATAGGGCTTACCAATAAGTGGGTCGAAACAGCTGGGAAAATCTCACCTAGTAAATTGTTACCTATTAAATTTTCTAAGTCAGTTGGTGTCAGACTTCTTTCTCATTCATCCGTATTTCTCCACAATTGTCCAAAGTTCCCAGTGGAAAGTGAAGTATTCAGCAGTGTTCTCCTTCAGGACCTACTGGCAACATCTCCATCCCCAGTCAGAACAATAACCAGGCTTTGAGGAACAAAAGTAGCTTTTCCTCATTAAAACCATGGAGAAACCTGGCCTCAGAATTCATCTAAGGCTAACTGTTCTACCTTGTGGGTCTTAGGTTTCAAAGTCCATTGAAGTTTCCGTTCAACCTAAATATTTCCTCTCAACTCCCCAGTCATCTCAACCAAAACAACAAAGTAGAAAAGATAGATGATAGACAGGTAGACAGACAGACAGGCAGACAGGCAAACTACCTAATGGAACACATCTCTTGACAGCCTACAGGAGAGAACATCGATTGACCCTCTCTGTCGTGCTGAAATTAGTAGAATCATGAAGCCCTTAAACCTCACAGCTCATTTTGTCAAATGCCAACTTGACTTAAGAGCCTTTTCCACAACCTGTTCTATTTTTAACAGAGGGTCAGCAAGAACATTGGTTAATGAGTTACATAACCAACTAATGGAAATAACTCAGTTCACAAAATACAAATAGAGAATCTCAAAACACAAGGACGGCAGTGGTATGAAGTCCTAGAGCTTGCTCAGGACCCTGTTCCAGTAAGACACAATTCAGAGAAGTCCTAAAGTCAGGCTAGTCAAAGCTTTAACTGAGTTAACTAGTCACGCTGGAGCTAAAACCACCAGCTCCACGAGTTCCTAGGAGCACGTGTGCAGTGGTAGCAGCCACGCTGAGGCAGGGCTCTGGAACAGCACTGCCTAGTAGAGCCTTCTGCAGCGATGGAAATGTTCTGTGTCTGTGCTGCCCGTTATGGTAGCCACCAGGCATGTGTAGATATTGAACACTTGGAATATGGCTAATACTGCTGAGAAATGAATTTTTAACTTTATTTAATTAGACAAATTTAGATGGCAGGTGGCTACCATATTCAGCAGCTCAGCTCTAGAAAATGAGGCCTCACTATGGCCCTTTGCTAAGAATGACTAGGAGGCAAGACTTGGCTCTAAAAGGACCACCCTGAGTTCTTAGAGTTCTGAATAAGGGTTGGAAAGTCACTCCTTTCTTGTCAACTCCTGATGATTAATCCCCTGTAATGTTATCAAATGGCATCATTTAAAAAGGAACATAAAATATGTAGCTTCCAAGACACGTTAACCTTGTCAGATTATATAAACAGTAAGCTCTAGAGGGAAAAAAAATCTGACTTCCTGGAGAACTTATTAAGTTCCCAGTCCTTTTTTTTTTTTTAAATCACAAATTTTAATACTCTCCATGTGGTTTGTTTGGAAATCTTCAGACATAGAAATAATCTCTCCTCATGCCTAGTTAAGAAGACCCCTGTAAAGCCATTTTTTACTTTGATTCCAAAGCCACTGATTCCAAATTCTATCATCTGAGCCCAGCTCAGCATTACCCCATCTTCCTTGGGATGTCTGAGAAGATATGGGACCGGTAAGCAGTAAGTCATGTTCCTTTACTTTTCTGATTTATGGTCTCTGGGATTTAGTTAACAAGTCTCACTTTCCTCATATCCCTACCAAGCTGACTAAGCATCAAAATGTAGAAATCTAGATATCACAAAGCACACTTCCTGTGAACTCTGCTTTTGCCAAATCAATATATAAAGGGAAGGGATGTCTATTTCAAAATCAGTTAATCATAACAAAATATCTAACACAACTGCGTCTCTTATGCAGTTCTGCAACACTGCTCTACCGAGCCATGGCAGCAGTCTGGTGCTTTTCAAATAGCTGAGTCTGCCCGCCAGCTACAGAGCATGGTTTCATCTAAGAAATCCTTTTTAGAAGTCCACTTAAACTATATAGAATGCTGCAGACTGCAGAGGAATAAATTCAATGATTAAGCTGCCAAGCAAATGTTACCTATTTATAACATTACAACAAAATAAAAACCAGCCTCTGAGCAACCAAAAGAGCTATCACAAAGATAAAGTTCTTACCTTTTCATAGAATCTCCTTTCTATCCTCTCTAAAAGCCACTTTACATCTTGGTTAGATTGTTTTGAGGCTCAAGCAATTTAGAAGCAGCCAATAAGAAGCAAGAAGTTGAGCAAGTAGTTTGATACCAGCAGTAAAACCTGACAGGAAAGAAGACAAACTGCAGTAAAAATAGACAAAAGAACCCCAAAAATCAGAGTGACCAAAGGCTATTTAGTATTGGTGCAAACGATTCTGTATCCATTACAGGGCCTAGCAGAGCCACGTTCTGACAGGATAGCGTAATAATTGATATTAGTAATAACCTTGAATCATTACTATATTCTACATTAAAAAGCAGGAACTCAGTAATGCTTTTGAAAAGCTATTCCCCAAAGACAAAAAATGTTTGAAATTATCCACAATTTAAAGGAACATTCAAGAAAATCAAGCTGTGTATTAATTTCCTACAGGATCTGAAAGGCTAAGACTTTACTCATAATGTACGCTTTCTACTTATGCCACACAAATTCTGATTAATGGAGAAAGTGTAGCACTTCCATAATCTCTAATAAATAAGAGATATGGCAATTAAGCCAAATTTGAAAATGCAGGAACTGCGAACTCTGTAGGAGACCACGTCTTTCTCCGCATAACCCCAATACCTAGCACACAGAAAACTAAGTAAATATTTGTTGGATGGATGGGCAGATGGACTAAAAATAGAATTACAATTTGCAGGCTTATGGTTAATGCCATTCAGGTCATACTTCAGTCTTTTGTCTGTGAAAGTCTCAAGATAGAGAAAACCATTCAGCATGATTGCTCCCCATCACTACCAGAACCTTACAGACCAGCAAAGTAAGTGAATACCTGAATGAAAGAGGTTCTTGGGAGCTTCTTAGTGAGAGGACTCTTTCAGGAACCATTGTCTGAAATGGTCACTTTTTAACCTGAAAATTTCCAAGGGTTCTTTTTAACTCTAATTGTTCGCATCCTTGCAAAGTTGCAATTAAGTGCTGTCTAACAGAGAAACATGCTCCTCACACTTCTAGTGTGCAGCTCAGGTTATCTGGCTGTCCTCCAGGGAGGGAGGGAAAGAAAGAGGGAGGTGGGGAGGTGGGGAGGCAGAGGGGCTGAGGTCGACACTGCCCCGATAACCCAATTAGCTGAGTCACTAGAAAATTAATACTTAGACAAAGGGTGATATGGTATTGATTCTTTTAAATGGCGTCACTTTGAAAAATAACAACCAAGATTAGTTGTGTGCATGTGTGTCTTTCTCAAGGACCTTTGTCTATACAGATACTTAAGGGAGAAATTCCCAAGCACCAAAATTTCTATAAAGAACAATTCAATATATTTAACACAAATTGCAGGTTCAAATGGAATGATACTTCATTTTTACCCTACATCTTTTTTCTATAGAACTAAATATAAAGATCATGAAACTTCCTACACAAGAATGAAATCGAGTTTTATTGTGTATTGCTAAGCATTCCTGGAGCACTCAGATATGATAGGACGATAGATCCCACAAACAGGTCCCCAAACAGTTAGCTGTGTTAGTGCAGTATCCCCACTTTGACTAGCCTACAGCTTGTAATTCAGGAGAATCATTTATTTTGTTTGCCTTGATTATTGGATTTTCAGCTTTGGTAAGGACAGTTGTTTGTTCAAAATATTCATCACTTTCAGTTTAATCTGAACTTTTTCCTTTTTAGTTATTTGTAGATACGGTCTTATATGTGTCTGAGCTATAACATTTTTATAAAATCTCTGTTGTCAGACTCAGAGGATCTTCTTCACTGTTAAGTACAACCATCTCCATTTACAAATAAGAGACAGTGAGATCCAGAGAGGAGCCAGTGACTTGCCCTAAGTGTGACCCATCCCCCCGCCTTAAAGATTAGGCATAGATTGCAAGTGTGTGGTCTCCCACATCAGTGCTCTCTCCCAGTCCCTCACTCCGTAGACCACCACTGGGACCACCACATCTGATTGGTTTGGTTTGTCAGCTTTCATGTGGATCCCCACATTTGAAGAATACTTCAACTCCTTTCTTCCATAGGTTTGTCCTCCAAGTCCCGCACGCTCCTGTTAACTATCTGAAATAAGTCAGTTTTCAGCAAGACCTACCAGGGCTAGATATTTCTCCTGTACACTCCCTCCCTCCAGTCCTGGCACTCCTGGCCTGGTAGTCGCAGGCCCATGGCTGAGCGAGCAGGGCCAGAGCTTTGTGGGGCTAAGCTTGGAGCACTGACCAGGCCAGGGTCAGCCAGCAGCAGAGAGTTGTGTGTAGCAGGGGCTGAAGACAAAGTGGAGGAAGTGATGAGAAAGGCCAGGGCCACATTTTTGTCATCTTCTCAGAGTTCCTTCTTGGGCCAGCCCTGTGCTAGTTGGGAGAGGCAGCTGGTACCTGATGGTGAGTCAAACCCAGCCTCTGCCCTCTGAGCTCCAGGAATTAGTCAGGTATCTGTGATAAGACTGGAGGCAAGAACAAATGTAGTTCAAAGAAGCAAAGAAAATAGCCTCAATCGGACTGATAGGAAAGGCTACAGAGGAGAGGGCATTCAAGATGGAATTTAAGTAAGAGGATATTTTTAGCCAAAGATGGCTCGCTCAGGAAGGGAGGAAAGTTTGAACAATGGCCCTCCAAGCGGGGAGAGTGGGGAAGAGAGCAGGGAGGCTGCAAGAGGTAATGGAAGGAGTTTGAGGGTGAGTCTCAACTCTGGGTCAGTGTGGGGAGAGGACCAGTTGTCACACCCCCTGTTAGATTCTCTTGTCACATCTGTGTCTGAGATTGAGGCAGAGGAAAGGAGAGGTGGTGGGTAGAGGCAGAGATGG